ACTCAATGGACATGAGTTTGAGCAAGCTCTGGGAGATAGTGAAGGGCAGGGAAGCCTGGCTTGCTGTAGTCCATGGGGTCGCAGAGAGTCAGACACGACTGAGCGGCTGAACGAGTCAAAAGTGGGTTGACGGCTGGGGCAGCAGAGCTGGTTTCATCCACTTTGAAGAGGGCGTCCGCTCCCCCAACCCCACGTCCACCCTCTGAGTGGCTTTCTTCAAAAGTGGGGCCCTCAAAGCCTCCTGGGTCTCAGTTTTGGATCCGAGTAGACAATTCCCGAGGAACGAGAACCCTCTCCCTCAGTTGCCTGTTTTACAGATACGGAAGTGGAAGCTAGGAGAGGTGAAGTCACTTGTTTAGGGCCCACAGGAATGAAGGGTGGACTCGGGATTTGAACTGGACAGTCTGGCACCAGAGCCTGAGCCAGCTGTCTTCAGAGCAGTTCTTTGGGAGCCGACCCTGAAACTGGGATTTGGGTGTGACCGGAATGTGAAGGGAACCTTCCAGAGGAAACCATTGCAGAAGTGGAGAGAGCGGGGTGGAGGAGACGCAGCCAGGAGAGGATGTCCGTGGTCCTGCAGGGGGTGGTCTCAGCCTGATCCCACCTGGGACTCGGGGATGAGAGTGAAGCTCAGAGTGTCCCACCCGAAATACAGTAGCTGGGGCCCTGCCCCTCTAGTCACGGGCGAGGGCTGCTCCGCTGGGAGCAGCACGGCTTCTCAGCTAGTTTCAGCCCAGTTTCCCTTGGGCAGCCGTCTAAGAAGAGCCTCAGGAGTTGCCTGGTGGAAGCCCAGCCTGCGGGGTGGGGACTGTGGGCGACAGAAGCAGACGGGGGTCCACGGGGGTCTGGGGGGCTGGGTGGAGCGCCCACAGCCTCCTCTGCCCACTTCCCCTCCTTGTAACCCCCCATCTCTGAGTCTCCAGTCCTGCCCACTCACCTCCGCCCAGCCATGCCTTTGGGGTTGCCTGGCGTGCCCCCTCTCCAGCCTCAGACCCTCCCTGGCCTCCACCTCCTCCAGGAAGCCCCGTCTGTGTCCACACCATCGGTTCGTCTGCTTCTGTCCAGGTGGCCCCCAGCCGGAAAGGGTGATGGGAGCCAGTGCCCAGGGCAGGACGGTGGAGGCCAGGACGAGCATCCTGCAGAGGCTCCCCTCCTGTCATCGCCCCAGACCTCTCCTTTCAGACTCCGCAGCTTGGCGCAAGCCCTGCCCACCTCACTCCTCCTTCCCCACCATCCCTGCGCCCACCTAAACTGTCCACCTCCAGACACCCCCTCCTGGCCACCTGCCCCATCAGTGCTCCCATGCAGCCCCCAGACCCCGCCGGAAATCATCACCGTTCCTGTGCTTGAGGAGCCTCGGCACCAGACCCACAGGGTTCAGGTCCTGACTGCCCAGGGCCATGTGCCTGGGGCTGTGAACCCCCACCTGCCCTGGGTTTCCTCACCTGCCAGGCTGACCACGGAGCCCTCCCTCTAGGTCAGGTGAGGACTCTGCCGTCCCGCTGGGACAGGAGGGTGTAGAGAACTGCAGATTGCGGGTGCTGCCATTCCTGCCGCTCAGCCTTGGGTTTGAGTGAGGGCCTTTGGGGGGCTTCCTGCGTGTAACTGTGAGCTCCCTGAGGGCAGGGACGGCTGATCCCACCTCGGTCCCTAGGTGCCTGCACAGTGTAGACGCCCAGGAGATGAATGCTTAGTGGCTGAAGGAATAAATGGCTGCATGGGTGAATGGATGAATGATCAGTCTACAGCTCTTCATGTAACCGGGCGTTTCTGGATACCCAGACCTCAGCTCTGAGCAGCTCTCAGAGCTTGTGAGTTCTGGGTTAATAGTCTGTCTCACTTACTAGAATGTCAGCTACACGAGGGCAGAGAAATCATCTCTCTCTCTCTCTTTTTTTGGATCATGCTGCACAACATATGGGATTTTAGTCCCCCAGACAGGGATCAAACCCTTGCAGTGGAAGCGCAGGGTCTTAACCACCAGTGAAAGAAAGTAAAAGTGTTAGTTTCTTAGTTGTGTCCAACTCTCTGTGACCCCATGCACTGTAGCCCACCAGGCTCCTCAGCCCGTGGGATTCTCCAGGCAAGAACACTGGGGTGGGTAGCCATTCCCTTCTCCAGGGGATCTTCCTGACCTCAGGATTGAACCCAGGTCTCCCGCACTGCGGGTAGATTCTTCACCATCTGAGCCACCGGGGAAGCCCAGGCTCCGCCGCTGTGTCCCTAGTACTCAGAACAGTGGGTGGTACATAGTAGTTGCTAAGCTAATGCCTTTCAGGGAATGGAAGAGTAAGTAAGCACATTAATCGGATGAATGTTGAGTGTTCCCTGTCGTCCTAGGGGGACTGGAGGATTCCTCTTTAAGTTAGAGCGAGGATTCAGTTCAGCAGTTCTAGTTGCTTGGTTCAAGGTGTTCAGTCCCTCAGCAACGACTGTGACCCTAGTATGTGGTAGGCCCTGATAATTCTTCAGTGGCGGGCCGATCCCTGCCCTCCCACACATAAGTACTTGTACCAGGCATCTTGTGCTGAATGCTGTAACAAAGGTAGAAGTCATCCCCCAGGTGTTTACAGAGCACCTACTAAGTGCAGGTGCTGCGGACGCAGAGCTCCAAGCAGAGCCACCGTGGTCTCCACCCTCGTGGTGCTCACACTCGTTGTGGGGAGAGAGGCTGGACACTTAAATACAAATATTCGGGTGATGACTGTGGGGGGTGACTGGTGGCCGGCATGGAAACAGGGAGGTGGCCAGGATGGCCTCTCTTGAACTGAGCGCTGGATGATGAGGTTCAGGAGGATCTGGGGAATGAGTGTTCCAGGCACAGTGGGGAGGGGGGCAGCAAGGACGAAGAGCAGGCCTGTCCGTTTGAGGAGCAGCACGGAGCGGAATGCTGAGGACAGTGAGCGCGGGTGCGGGGGGGTGACGGCACCCAGGCCGGGGCTGCGGCTGGCTCTGTTCCTGAAGGTGATGGGAGGGAGGCAGCCGGGCAGACGGAGTCAGCCTGAGCGGGCCCTGACGTCCCTGTGCTGCTGGTGCAGAGTGGATGGCCCAGCAGGGGAGGGAGGAGGCTCCTGGTGGAGGTGAAGGCTCTCACGGCTCTCACGGGGCAAAGCTGGAGCAGAAGTGCTGATGAAGAGGTCTAAATCTGGAGTGGAGGTCAGAGAGAGGGCCAGGGGGACTTGCTGGTTGATTGGATGGGGTTGGTGGGAAGAGTTGGGGAAGCAGGACTCTGAGAAAGAGCCTGGATGTTTCTTTGGGACAGCTGGGTGGACCATTGCATCGTCTTCTAAAACTGGGGGAGGAAAGGAAGATGGACTCTGGTTTGCAAGTTCCATTTTGCCTGGTTTGTTTCAGATGCCTAGTGGGCAACCAGGTCGGGAGCTGGAAATTCAGTCAGGACCTCCAGCAAAGAGTCGGGGCTGGAGGCATAAATGTGTGTCAGCTGCAGGGGTGAGACCTCCTGGGAGAGGGGAGAAGGGAGGTGAGAAGGGGCCCGGGACGAGCGGTGGATTGGCTCCGGGGCGGGGCAGAGCAGAGGAGGAGGAGGCGCGGCCGTGGAGGTGGGGGGTCAAGAGAGGGTGTGGCTGGAGGGGGGGTGCCCTCGTGCCTGCTGCGGGGCCACTGAGGATGGGCCAGAGGATCACTCTGAGCTTTCTGGCCACTTGCCAAGGGCTGTCTCAAGGAAGGCTGGTTGGAACTGGTGCAGGAGAACAGGAGAAGATGGGGAGTAGAGGCTGGATACAGCTCTAAGTTGGGGGCAGAGGAGTGAGCAAGGAGCGGAGGGAGGAGGGGTCGGGAGAAGGTCTTCCAAGGGTGGAGAGGCTTGGGTTGCCAGGACGGGAGGGGCTGGGGCCGGCCCAGTGGTGAGGGGACCCCATGGCAGGAGGCAGGAGAGGCAATGCTGGCAAGAGAGCCTGAGCCCAGAGGCATCACAGCCACAATGATGGGCTGACTCCGGGGAGAGAAACACAGACCGCACGGGAAAGAGAGAGCACAGAGCCTGGGGGAGGGCAGGCCTGAGACCCAGACCCCAGGGGAGCGGCTGGGCTTGGACTTGGGGGGACAGTTCTTCCTTTGTCACAAGAGGGAAAGCAGACGGTGTGGCGTGTGGGTGGGGCAGCGATTTGAGGCGGAGAGAATGGGTGATCGGTACCTGCCGAGGGCTCCTGCATTGCACTGAGAGCCAGAGAGCAGCCAGCACTAGGGTGCTGGGACCAGCAGGGGTGTCAGTGTGAAAGTCTGAGAAGGAAAGAGGGTGAAGTGGTCAACCTCACAGGATGCAGACTCGCAAGAATCAGAGACACATAGAGGGATCCCTGGGTAGACTGGTGGGCACCAATTTAACTTGACGCCCATGACTTTCCCCGGCAGCCAGTAGCTCTGAGGGTCCCCACAAAGCGGGTGGAGGGTTAGGCCAAAACAGGGTTAGGAGAAGCGAGTCAAGGGCATCTGCAAAGGAGAGCTTTAAAGATATGCCAAGGAATCTTAGCTGGGCCAGGAGGGAACTGGGGACATGAGTGTCTTACGAAAGGCAGGTGAACAAATGGATTGGAGGTCCCCGGGAGGTCAAGGAATCGCTGGAGTGTGAGGACTAGAGTTAGTCAAAATGCGGTAACAAGGACAGGGCAGGCAAATCCCACTGGTGGGATCTGGCTGGATTCCTCACCTGCTGTGGGCCTGACTCTGTTTTCTTTTTTAAACTTTTATTCATTTGGCTGCGTCGGGTCTCACTTGGGGTGTGCAGGGTCTTTTGCTGAACTGCGCCAGCTTAGTTACTCCGTGGTGTGTGGGATCTTAGCTCCGCTACCAGGGATTGAACCCACATCCCCTGCATGGCAATGCAGATTCTTAACCACTGGACCACCAGGGAAGTCCCTGAGTCTGTTTTTGACAAAATGATGTAATAATAAAGTAAAGCCATCTCAGAACTGGCTTGAATGGGCTTCATACTCAACAGAGCTCTGGGCTTGTCTAATTTCCTCATGTCTTCCTTTTTCCAGATTTGCTCACAAGTGCCCACAAGGACTGCCCCCTGCCCCAGGGCACAGCCCCCCTGAACCCAGACTTGCCCTCCATCATGGCTCCAGATCATGTCACTGGCAAGGTAACTGGTCGTGCTTCGTCCCCCTGGTTCCTGGGCTGTGCCCTGGAAGCAGAAAACGTTTCAGCCTCCTTCTCTCCCTGCCAGGCCTGGCTCCTTCCTGCAGGGTCAGGGCCGCCTAGTGTTGTATTCAGCTGGATGAAGCTCTGAATGGAGCGGGGCATCCAGGCACTGAACCTGCTCTATATAGAAAAGAGTCCTATCCTGAAGGGTCTCCCACCCAGAGTCACTCAGTTCTGCAGATAAGATGTTCTGTTATGAGCCCATGACTCCTCGGCCACCTGTGCTGCCGGCTGGGGTGTAAAGGAATGGAATTCTCAGTTCAGACAGATCAGGCCGATCTCGCTAGGGGCCTCAAATCTGCTGCGTAATTTTCACCTTTGTCCCAGAAGCTGTGGCCTGAACTGACAAGTTGATATATATATATATATATATCACAAGTATATATATATGATATGTATATCATACACAAGTGTATATGTACACACACACACACACACACAAATACACACACACACATGATTCCCAAGTGGTGCTAGTGGTAAAGAACCTGCTTGCCAATACAAGTAGATGTAAGAGACGTGGGTTTGATCCCTGGGTCTGGAAGATCCCCTGGAGAAGGGCATGGCAACCCACTCCAGTATTCTTGCCCGGAGAGTTCCATAGACAGAGGAGCCTGGCGGGCTACAGTCCATAGGGTCGCAAAGAGTCGGACACGACGGAAGCTACTTAGCACAAATTATGTTGTTTAATCTGCAAGTCATGTCCGACTGTTTTCGACACCATGGACCATAGCCCGCCAGGCTCCTCCATCCATGGGATTTCCCAGGCAGGAATACTGTGCTGGATTGCCATTTTCTCCTCGAGGGACTCTTCCCAACCCAGGGATCAAACCCTCATCTCCCGCATTGGCAGGCAGATTCTTTACCACTGAGCCACCTGGGAAGCTCAGTGGTAAAGCACTGGTATGTGTGTATGTCCGCATATGTGTGTGTGTATGTGTGTGTCCACATATGTGTGTATGTGTGTGTCCACATATGTATGTGTGTATATGTGTGTGTCCACATGTGTGTGTATATGTGTGTCCACATATGTGTGTATGTGTGTCCACATATGTATGTGTGTATATGTGTGTGTCCACATATGTATGTGTCCACATATGTATCTGTGTATGTGTCCACATATGTATGTGTGTATATATGTGTGTGTCCACATATGTATGTGTGTATATGTGTGTGTCCACATATGTATGTGTCCACATATGTATCTGTGTATGTGTGTGTGTCCACATATGTATGTGTGTATATGTGTGTCCACACATGTATGTGTGTATGTGTGTCCACATATATGTGTGTATATGTGTGTGTCCACATATGTATGTGTGTATATGTGTGTGTCCACATGTGTGTGTATATGTGTGTCCACATATGTGTGTATGTGTGTGTCCACATATGTATGTGTGTATATGTGTGTGTCCACATATGTATGTGTCCACATATGTATCTGTGTATGTGTGTGTCCACATATGTGTGTATATATGTGTGTGTCCACATATGTATGTGTGTATATGTGTGTGTCCACATATGTATGTGTGTGTATATATATGTGTGTGTCCACATATGTATGTGTGTATATATGTTTGTGCGTCCACATATGTATGTGTGTATATGTGTGTGTCCATATATGTATGTGTGTATATGTGTGTGTCCACATATGTATGTGTGTGTATATATGTGTGTGTCCACATATGTATGTGTGTATATATGTTTGTGTGTCCACATATGTATGTGTATATATGTGTGTGTCCACATATGTATGTGTGTATATGTGTGTGTCCACATATGTATGTGTGTGTATATATGTGTATGTCCACATATGTATGTGTGTATATATGTTTGTGCGTCCACATATGTATGTGTGTATATGTGTGTGTCCATATATGTATGTGTGTATATATGTGTGTGTGTCTATATGTGTGTGTGTGTCTATATGTGTATGTGTGTCTATATGTGTATGTGTGTATATATGTGTGTGTGTATATATATGTGTGTGTGTGTATATATATGTGTGTGTGTCTATATATGTGTGTGTATATATATGTGTGTGTGTCTACATATGTATATGTATATATATGTGTGTATATATATGTGTGTGTATATATACGTGTGTGTCTACATATGTATGTGTATATATGTGTGTGTGTATATGTATGTGTATATATATGTGTGTGTATATATATGTGTGTGTCTACATATGTATGTGTGTGTGTGTGTGTATATATATATATATATATATAGAGAGAGAGAGAGAGCGCGCGCCTACACCACAGGCTCAGTCTCGTGCCTGGCACTTTGCTGACCTTATGCCATTTATGCTTCAGCACAGCCTGTGAGATGCATGGCACATCCTGTCTTAGAGAGGCCCAGACTAAGGTTCTGGGATGTTACGTGACTAGGACATATGGGATGTTATGTGACTAGGACATCCAAGGATGTCCAGGCAGCAATGGCAGAGTCAGTCTGAGCCCAGGCCTGCTCACTCCCCCACACCTGCTGCCTCTCCTGGCAGAACCATGGTCACCCCTCACCCACCTGCTTCTCTCTCTGCATGCCAGGGGACAGCAGGGCATGACCCAGGAGCAGGCAGACGCTGGCTCAGTCAGGGAGCACCGCTCCCGGGGCTGCAGGATCGGTGCAGTCTGCCGGCACAGAGTGCCAGGCCCCTCCTGTTCCTCTTTCTCCTCTTGTTGTAGGACAGACAGATGGATTTCTGTTGGGATCCTTGGCAGGTCAGTGCACTCACCCCTCCCTCAGGCTAGCCAGCCCCAGCTGACATCATGGGCCCTCTCTCCTGGGCCCAGCTTGGGCACACAGCACTGCCAGCCCTGGGGTGGTCTGATGGACACAGGGCTGGGGAGGGTCCTGTGGGGGTTGGCAGGACTGCCCAGGACCTGGGGAGGGTGGGTAGTGGAGTGGGAGGAGTGGGGAGTCATCTTGCGGGTCTGCCCACCCTGCTCACCCCCCTCCCCTTCCTACAGAGGTGCTTCCAGACCACCAACGGCTACCTATCCGACTCCAGGTCCTGCTCCAGCAACTACAACGTGGCAGCTCTGGCCACCTCGTCCCTTGTGGGTGAGCTCCGGCTGCCTCCTCCTGCCCCGCGAACCTGCCCAGTGCCCCGTAGCCACTGGCGGTGGGAAGGTCAGAGCGGAATTGCAGCTGGAAGGACTTCAGCCCTGTTGGACGCACGAGTTTCTAAAGGCCAGGCTCCATGCGGGACTCTGCAGGGCTTTGGGGTTCCTGCCCCTGTGGGGTTTAGTTGCTGGGTTCTCCTGAAGTTCTGAGGGGCTGGCCCCGATTTCTTGGGTGTCTCCCTGCCTCTCTGCAGCAGATGAAATCAGCCAACTTGTGACAGGTTCCCTAGAAGCAGAGCTGAGAGGGGAATTGTGTTGGGGATTTACTGAGGGCTTGTTCACGAAGGAAACCTGCAGGGAGCAAGGGGAGTAGGTCAAGGCAGGGGCGGGGCTCGGCAGAGGGCTGCTTGCAGGTCTCGTCTCTCCCAGTCTGACCCACAGAACCCGTGGGGCTCTGAAGCCATGGCTGATTTTACACGGCTCCTCCATCCGTCAGCGTTGGCTGCCACTCGGGAGGACTCCCAGCTTCCAGGCCTCTCTGGGTGGCGCAGCTGAGGGCAAGGCTCCCGAGGGTGCAGGTGTGTGCATAGGTGTGCCCTGGCACCTGCAGCAGCAGGGTGTGGTCGCCCTGGCTCAGCCTTTGGGGCTCTGCTCAGCCGGCTCTGCTCACAGGCTGCTACGTCCTCAGTCGCTCACAGCCCGCCCCCCCAAAGCTGCCCCCCATTTCCTCCACCCGAAACCCCTTCCCTCTACCTCACCTGCCCCTCGGGGGCCACGGAACCACCCCTTCCAGAAACCACCTCCAGTTGCCAGCGCTCCCCAACCTGGGGGCCTCCATCTTCTTTCCAACCTTCATCTTTCCCATTCTCCCAGAGTTTTGTTTCAGTTTCCTTTACTGATGCCTTTCTTCCTTCCTTCCTTTTTTTTTTTTCCTAAAGCAAGTCAACATTAGCTTTTTTTGAATTATTATTTTTAAATATCTGTCTATTTGGCTGTGCCAATTCTTAGTTGTGGCATGAAGAAGCTCAGCTGTTGCATGTGGGATCTAGTTCCCTGATCGGGGATCGAACCTGAGCTCCCTGCCTTCGGAAAGTGGAGTCATAGCCACTGGACCACCAGGGAAGTCACCTTTCTTTCTTAAATATTGCTTTTCCTCATGTCCTGCTTTCTGGGACCAGTGATCCGCAGATCTGTTCTCAGCCTGGGTTTGAGGAAATACTGGGGATCGTCCTTGACAACGTTTTGTCCATCATCCAGTGGGTCTGCTGCCAAGAGCCCCCCAGGCCCTGCTCCCTGTCTCCCCACTCTGTCCTGTCCCTCGCTGACCCGTTCAGTGGCCCCTCATGCCCACCCTTGCCCCTAGTCCTGCAGTGAGGACATTCTTCCTCAGCGGCGGGCCGGCCCTGTGCCACTCTCCTGCCCGTCACCGTGCCGTTGCCGTAAGGAGAGGGGTGGTCTGCCCCAGTCTGGACCTTCTTGGGCTTCCCAGACTCTTCCGCCACCCTGTTCCCAGTGTTGCCCGTGGCTTGCCCCCGGGTAGTCTTGGATCCACGGCAGACTCTTCTGTGTCTTCATCCTCTTCTCATCTCTGAAATAGCCTCCAGCCTTGCCTCTTTTTATCCAATCCAAACTGCCTTCAAAGCCTGCCTCCAGTCCACCTCTTCCAGGAAGCCTTCCCTGCCTGCTACAGGTTTCACCCTTGGCAGAGCAGGCAGTGTCCCAGGCACAGGAGACACTGTCCCCAAGCTTGTTAGCTGCTGGAGGAAGGGACAGCTGGTGGGTCTGGAAGGATCCATGAGTGAATCTCCTTGAGCAAACGGGTGTGAACTTGGTCAGAAGGGAGCGAGGGGTGTGGCAGGTCTGGAGAAGAAGGGCCAGGTGGGCGGGAGCACTGCCTGGGAGCAGGATGTTGGGAGGGCGTGGGGCCTGCAGGTGGGTGGGGAACGTCTGTGCAGGGTGTGGGAGGCTGTGGGCAGGCATGAGCATTGCGGGGTGGGACTCCGAGCACCCGGGCTCTGGAGGGACGTGGGGTACAGGCCACTGGACCAGCTGGAGGTCCTGGGAGGGCTGGGCTCTTGGGGGTGGGGCCACTGAGCTGAGCCTTGGGTTAGAGCCCTGGCTCAGCCGCCCTCAATCCCTGCAGGGGTGGTGCAGAGCATCAAGGACCACATCACAAAGCCCACGGCCATGGCCCGTGGCCGTGTGGCCCACCTCATCGAGTGGAAGGGCTGGAGCGCCCAGCGGGTGGCCTGGGAGCTGCCCCCAGCGGATGACGAGCATTACTGCCACCTCCCGGACGAGCTGTGTGAGGCCCGCTTTGCTGCAGGTCAGCGGGGGTGGGGGCGGGGGACAGACTGGCCGGGTCTGGTCCTGAAAGGCCCCGGGGTCCCCCCCGTGCGTTGTCAGGGTGTGCTCAGTCACTTCAGTCGTGTCCAGCTCTTATGGACTGTAGCCCTCCAGGCTCCTCTGTCTATGGGATTTTCCAGGCAAGAGTACTGAGTGGGTTGCCATTTCCTACTCCAGGGGATCTTTCTGACCCAGGGTTTCAACCTGTGTCTCTTTCGTCTCCTGCATTGGCAGGCAGGTTCTTTACCACTGGTCTGGGCAGGGAAATACAGTGCTGAGTGTTGGGGGCATTGATGGGAACTCTGATCCCCCGGACCACAGATGGGCAGCCTCGAGAACCAGCATGTGGTGCCTCTTGCCCCCGCTGAGCTGGGTCCATGCCCACAGGGGTTGCTGAACAGTTTGCCATCACAGAGGCCACACTGAGCGCCTGGTCCTCGCTGGACGATGGAGAGCTACGCCCGGAGAGCAGCCCCCTGGACGTGCTCCAGCTCCAGGGTACGGCCTGGGGGCTGGGGTGGGGTGCCGCAGGGCCTGCGTGCAGGCCTGCTCTGCTGCCTGTGCCCTGGGACCTCAGAGAAGGCCCCCCAACCCTCAGCCTTAGTTTTTCTTCATCTGAAAAATGGGGCTGGTGATCCTTGTCCTGCCCATTGCCCCAGGAGCACCATGAGCATAAAGGAGAGAAACACAGAGAGAGAGAGAGAGAGAGAGGTGATAGATTAGATGATAAATAGGTGACAGATAAGGTGAATCAAGTGCTCACTGTGCTAAGTGCTTTACATGTGTTATTTCAACTTATCCTATGACACTCTGAGAACTAGAGCCGTTATTATCTCCATTTTACAAATAAGGGAAACTGAGGCATCAGGAGACTTGCCTCAGACACGTCCCTGGTGGTTAAAACTCTGCGTTTTCACTACAGGGGACACGGGTTTGATCCCTGGTCAGGGAACTAAGGTCCTGCACGCTGCACAGCGCGGCCCAAAGGAGACTGGCTCAGACTGTGCTGTGTGCTAATCGCTCAGTCGTGTCTGACTCTCTGCGACCCTGTGGACTGTACCCCTCCAGGCTCCTCTGTCCATGGGATTCTCTAGGCAAGAATACTGGAGTGGGTTGCCATTTCCTCCTCCAAGGGATCTTCCCGACCCAGGTATCGGACCCAGGTCTCCCACATTTCAGGCGGTTCTTTACCAGCTGAGCCACCAGGGAAGCCTCAGGTTACACACGCTGGAGGCATCAGGATCTGAACTTCAACCTCAGGCACCATCAGTCACCTTGGTAGATACCCCAGTTACCCCTGAGGGCTTCAGGGAGCCTGGGTCCCGGGTGGAGCTTGCAGACCCACTGTGGCTCCTCCTCCTGACATGAGTGAAGGGAAGGGTGAAGGCCTGGGGAGAGCATTGGTCGGCCCAGTTCTCAGAGCACAGACGGATTTGAGGCCAGCAGGCTGGCTCCAGAGTCTGCTGTTAACCATTCTGCTCACTGCCACCTCCATGCCATCACCCAGGGAGAAACAGGCTCAGTGAGCTTCAGTGACATGACCAAGGCCACCCAGCTTGGCGCTGATAAAGCAGGATTCGGAAGGAGGTCCTCTGCCGCTCGCCCCTGCCTCCTAGCCCGGAGAGGGCGAGGGTCGGGGTCTTCCCAGCTCCAACCTCGCCCCCCGCCCCCCGTTGCTTTTGCAGACCTGGGGAGCATCTACCTCCAGGATAGCCTTCTGAGTGTCCACTCGCAGGACGACAGTCTTCTGGCCTTCTCTTCCCCCGACAGCTGGCCCTCCCCTGACGAGCCCCCCAGCCTCGCAAGGCAGCTCCAGCCACGGCTCCCAGGGGCCCTGGGGCCCGAGGAGGGGGCCAGCCCGCAGGGCCCCCCACGCTCCGTGGACGGCGGCCCGCCCTCCGAGGAGGAGGACGAGGTGTTCTACAACTGAGGCGGGCCAGGCCGCTCCCGCTGTGGCCCGGTGGGCAGCCCAGAGCCATCAGGACCCCGGGCGCTGGGTGGGTGTCTTGTGATCCCTCGGGGCAGGCGTGGGGTGGGGCGGCGCTCCTGTGGACACTCGGTGCCTCCCGGACCTCCTCCACCTCCTGCGTGGGAGCTCTGATCCCCTCCCCCTCTCTACCTGGCTCAGGAGGGCGCCTTCCCCTCAGGGTGTCTGCCACAGGCAGGCTCGAGGACTCTCAGCAAATACCTGGGCAGACTGCCCAGAGGAACCGACAGCCACAGACGAGTGTGGGGACCCTGCTCAGCCCCAGGCTCAGCCCTCCGCCTGTGCTCCGGCCCCATCAGAGGTGGCAGCTCCTTGGGGTGCTGACCCCTGCTCCTCAGCGCTCTTCACAGGGACTGTCTCTCGGGGTGTCTGCCGGCCCCTCACTCTCTGGACCTGCTTCCCCTCCTTGCACCCCCCTCCACCTGCAGGAAGGTTCTCGGCAGACATTAAAGTGGTAGATCCTCCCTGGATGACCTTGGCCTGGTTTCTGCTGTGCTCCCGGCTCGCGGGAGAGGGCCCCAACCCCTCACCACACAGACTGCTGGTCACCCTGCTGCTGGCGGACCAGATGGCCCCCATGGATGAGGCTTAAGGCTCTGTGGACTCCAGGGAGCCCCATATGGGGAGCCCACTTTGTCAGCCCAGGCTCAGCCGAGGAGGAGGTTGAGGCTGGAGTGGAGGTAACTGGATCACAGGGTCATGGTACCCCTGAGGACAAGCATCATAAGACCCAGTGGGAACCCCCTCTACCCCATAGCTCCCTGCCAGGAAGGGGGCGCAAGGAGTGGGGGGACCAGGGTCCAGGCCTACAGTGTCCACACGGCCACTGAGGGGCCCCCAAGAGCTCAGTCGGGGTTGGCGCAGGTGAGGCGCTAAGGTGGCAAGACACTTGGATGCTGAGATGAGCATGGACCACAGCTCTGGGAACGGGCTTTATTTGCCTTGGAAGCCTCTGGTTGGGAGTCACACAGCCCCCAGAGGGCACCTGTGCCTGCCCTTGCTGACAGAGGACAGCAGGCTCTTCATCTGTGAATCTGATGCTTTCTTGCAGTACCCACCACGTGGCGGCTTTCTGCTGTCTCACATTCTGAGCTTTCCAGGGTGGAATCTGTCCTTTAGGACATGTGGCACTTGCCCCACGAGGATGGGACATGGCGACTGTGGGGTCCTCCTCACTGCTAGGTCAGCTGCCTGCTTTGCCGAGGAGTTGAGCTGGGCTGGAGCGGAGGGGTGTGTTCTCGTGGGGGAGACAGGCAGGGTCTCTGCCCTGCTTCCTTCATCAGGGTAGCTGAGTGGCTGTTTCATCCTGCCAGGCTGGCTCACTTTGGGGCTGGAGGGTTTGTCAGGTTGGAAATTGCTTTCTCCAACTAGAACAGAGAGCAGAGAGGGGGAGAGTGTAGAGGATACTGAAGATGGAGGCTGCAGTATAGTTTGCCTCTTCTAAGGGCTGATTTTGGAGCGAGTTTTAGAGCCAGTGCCTTGCTACTGCATAGATGGCATCACTGAGGCCCAGAGGTAATGGCAGGGCTGGCCAGTAGCCACAAGATAAGGTAGATGTAGCTGGACCATGTGGCCGGCTCCTCTGGGCCAGAAGTGAGGCTCATCAAAGTCCCATGAGGCCCCTCCCAATGTGACTGTGGGTTACTGGTGCCCCCCCGCCCCGCCCCTCGGCTGCTCAAGCGTGGCTTCTCCCCTTTGTTTCATCCTTGAGGCCACGGTACCTCCACCCAAGAAACGAAGCCCACAGCTCTGCCCTGAGACGTCACGAAGAGGGACTGAAGATTCAACAGCTCGAAGAGGCTGTGTGCCTGGAGGAGGGGGTGAGGAAGCGCTGGAGGACAGGCTCCCGCCCGCCCGTCTGGCTCATTCTTCCCGGCCGACGAGCCCTGAGTGGAGATGAAGGCCCTGCCAGGCTCTGTCCTGGTGCTGCCCTGCTCCCTGCTGGTTCTGAGTCGCTGCCGAGCCAGTTTCTGAGCCTGGGAGGGCTGGGCAGTTGGGACGGGCCTGCAATGTCCAATATGACCACCAGGGGTCCCAAGAGTCCACACAAGGGATCAGTGGGCCTCACCACTCAGGATCATCCAGCATCACCCATGGACACAGGGGTGGGGCCACCTTTAGGTCTCCAACCTGCTCTGTCCCTCCATGACCCCATGTGCCAGGCTCTGTGCTTGCAGCAGGGAGGGATCAGCAGTCAGAGTGATTAAGTAATTTGCACAAGATCACACAGGCAGAATGTGGGAGACCTGGAATTGAAACCCATGTGTGCCTTGATGCAAAGACAAACTTTTAACCACTATTTCTGTCCATCCAGAGTCTTCAGCTTCCTAAGCTCTCCCTCTCCCCGAGTCTTTATGTCCCAACAACCCTGGGACTGAGGGGCAGAGAGGCGGGGACTGCATGCTCCTTCCACAGATGAGGAAGTAGACGCAGGAGGAACAGAGAGCCACACTGTGTGGTGAGGAACCGGAAGCTTTCCTTGCTGAAGAGTTTCCCTCTCAGGTTCCTCCCCTCTATCCCAGGACCCAGGTCTGCCCACAGCCCGAATTTCGCCCATTACCTGGTGCAGGGAGGTCTCCGGAGACAGCTTCAGGGTTACTGGCTCCACGGGGCACCCCCCAGCCAAGATGTCCTGGAGGCAGCACTGGGGATGGGGGAAGGGTTATGGGCGCCTAGGCTAGCCCCCCCCCCCGTCCCGGCCTGCCCCTCTCAAACCACAGGTGATCAGCTGGCCACTCTGCGCTAACCCTCCTGATTCCCCACCCGCTCCAGACACCTCACGTGAGCACTCACCCGCTGTCCTGGAGCCCAGGCGGGTGGCTCAGCTTGGAGGGCCTGCACCAGCTGTGCCCTTTGGATGGTGCCCACCAGGGTCTGGGACTCTGGACAGGCGGAGAGGGAGACAGAAAGAGCCACATTATGAAAAAGGAACTTCTGTTTCCTGCGCTTCTGTGATGTGCCAAGAACTGTGTTGGGTGTTCTCATGACCCTTGGGAACTTGCAGCAATCTGAGAGTCAGGAGCTATTATCGCCCATTTTACAGAAAAGGAAACTGAGGCTCAGGGGCACAGAGAGGTTAGTTGTCTCGCCCAAGGTCACTCAGCTTCTGAGGGCAGCTGGGCAAGGCTGCCAGGGGGCCAGGAGGTCACCTGCCCACCCTGAAATGCCCCATGTGGCAGGGCCTCAAGCAGGAGCAGGTCTGGAACACCTCCATGAAGACAGCTGTGCCCTGGGGCTGGGCATTGCCCCTCATTTCCCAGTGAAGGCGTGAATCCAGAAGGCCACCTTGTTCCTGCTGGGGGAGGGGTAGCAAGCTTTCAGGGCGTCACTGGAGTTTGCAAGTATTCTGTTTTGAAGGACAGCCTGACAGTTTTGCTCCTTTTCCAGTAAAAGAAAAATGTCACAAGTGGACATACACATGTTCCCCCTTTAAAAACAAAAAACAAAGCTATTTCTTGGATGAGCAGCTGGGTCACACAGCCTGGGCCTGTGCTAGTTAGGAGTGCTTTGCTTCCTGTGGCTCTAAGGGTAGATTTGGAGTTGGTCTTGGACACCACTTCTGTCTCTTTTCCAGGGAGTGAAGCTTCTCGAGGGGACACCCCTGTGCAGATATTTTCTAATGGGATATCTGGCGTGTTCTATGGGATAATGCTATAGGTGTCCCACTTTGAGTGGGAAGAAGGGCCTGGCATTTGGGATGAGAACCTCTGACAACTCTGTCCTCCCTACTTTCCAGCTGAGGCAACTGCAGTTCATAGAGCTTAAGGGGTTTATCTACAGTTTTGCTGCTCATAAATAGCTTTACGCTTCTTGGGTTAGGTATGTGGATGACACATACAGTTGTGCAGGTTGCTCAATGCCCAAGAAACCTGCCCAAAGGACAAGCAGGGACCAAAATCCAGCCAAGTTATGCTTGCCAAGCGTGCACCTTTTTCCACTTACACAAAGGGGACATACGGGCTGGCGGAGGCGCTGGGTGGGTATAGCTGTCCCCTCCCTAACCCCTGCTTACCTTTCCCACTCACACTGTACTTGTCCGAGAGGGAAATGATGTTCCACCTAGACCCTCCCTCAAGATTCAGCTTACGAGTCTTTTAATAAGGGGCCCCATCCATTTTTCTGTGAAAAGATGTCTTTCTCATGGTGACAGGACTGAGGGAGGTTCAGCGGGGGAGCACTGGAAGGGAAGGCTGCAGGAGGAGCCTCCTGGGAGGAAGATGTGCTCCCATCACTCTACACCAAGCTCACCACCCTGATTTCTAGGATTCACACGCACCTCACCAGTGCCCTCTCATCTCTCATTCAAACATGTCAGGACGTCCCTGGCGGTCCAGCGGTCAAGATTTCACCTCCAACGCAGGGGTCTGGGCTCAACCCCGGGTCAGGGAGCCTCATGGCCAAAACAAACAAAACCCCCACAAAGAGAAGCAACACTGGGACTTCCCTGGGGGTGCAGTGTATAAGAATCCACCTGCCAATGCAGGAGACAGGGGTTGCGCCTCTGGTCTGGGAAGATCTCACATGCCGGGGTGCAACTAACCCATGTGCCACAACCACTGAGCCTGAGTCCTGGAGACCGGGAGCCACGGCCACTGAACCTGAGTGCTCCAACTACTGAAGCCCTTGAGCCCTAGGGCCTGTGCTAAAAATAAATAGATAACTTAAAAAAATCTGAAAGCAGTATTGTATCAAATTCAATAAAGACTTTACATAAAAAAAAAAATCTTTAAAAGAAAAGGACTACAAGCAGAAAAAATATAAATAAATAAACATGTCAGCACCCCAAGGTAGGATGGTTATTATCTCCATTTTACCAATGAGGAATCTGAGGCTCAGAGAGGTGCAGTGACTTGCCCCAGGTCACATAGTGCAGAGCCTGGGTCTCGATTCAGGTTCCTGACAGCTCCAAGGCCCTGTTCACCCTTTCCTGAGGCTGACTCTCCCAGGTGCAAGAGGGAGCAGATGGAAGCCCCTTCCCCATTCACACCCCGCTTCCTGCTGGGCACCTGTGCTGGCCACCAGGGGATACTCAGCCATGTCTGTGGAGGTCACCACCTTGACCACCTCCTCCTGTGACGTGTCCTTGGCCAGTGTGGTGATGGCTCGGTTCATGAAGTGCTCCACACACACCCGGTGAGAGCTGCAGGCAGAGGCGTGCTCCCATCAGGGCCTGGAGCAGTGTGTCCTCCAGACCCCGGGACAAGGCGGGGGGCCCGGGGAGTTCCGCCGGTTCTCCAGTGCAGGCAGGGACTGAGGGATTCCTAGGAGGAACAGTTGCTCACATCCCAGGGTGGGGAGGAGCCTGGGGACCGACTCGCCTATGGCCTGGCTCTGGATTCTCAGCCACTGGATTTCTATCTCCCCGAGACCAGCTCTAGTTTCATCTGTTTTATTCAGAAGCTGTCCCTGGAGAATTTCATTTGAAGAAAAGCTTTATGGCATAAAGGGGGGAAAAAAAACTTTAAAGTTTTAAAATAACTGGAGTAACCACCCCCATTTAACAGATGGGGAAACTGAGTCTGGAGAAGGCGGCAGCTTGCACATGCTTCAGTTGGGCCTTGGGCCCAGGAGTCTCAGAGGCTCTCAGTCCTGCTTCTCTGGGGACAGAGGGTGCTCGACCCTATGTGGTCGAGTGAGGACCTCAAAGCCTGTTTCCATTCCAGTATTCCAGCCCCACCTCCAGCTCCCAAGGCCCCAGTGAGGACCGCAAAGCAGGAGCAGGGGGAGGGGTGGGACCTCCCCGAGCTGGTGCTGGCTCGCTGTGTGACCTGGATCAAGACATGGCACCTCTCTGAGCCCCAGCATCTGTCCTCCTGTTGTGAAGACAGACTGATGACCAGGAAGACACTGAAGCTCGGGAGGCCAAGGACTCACGCAAGGTCACACGGGGAGCTGGAGAGCAGCAGACTAGAGAGCAGCGTGTGTCAGCCCCTCCCACACTAGCCCAGGACCGAGGTCAGCCCACCTGGACACCGTCGCCTTGGTCCACCAACCTGAGCAGGCACCACTCACCTGATTTTTCGGCACCGGATCCACGGAAGGTATGGCAGCTTCTTGACAATGATGGTGCCGTCGTAGAAGGAGGGCTGGCAGCTCTGCGCGATGGCGTTGGCCGCCAGCACCGCCATTAGCACAGGCAGTGCGTGCACGATCTGACCCGTCATCTCGAAGGCCAGCAGCGCAGTGGAGATGCTGTGCGTCACGGCCCCTGAGAACGCTGCAGCCCCTGCAAGCCAGGGGTGGGGTTGGGGCATGAACAGCCAGGGAGCGGGGCTCAGGCTAGGAGACAGCTTCGTGCAGAGGACAAGGCTGCTGTGAGGATGGCCGTGGGCTTGGGTGGGAATAATTCAGAGGCTGCAACTGGCTACTATTGGAAATGCCTCTGGCCTGGGCTTGGTGAGGGAGAGAACAGTAAGGGAGAGGGGGCATCAGGGCCCAGAGAGAAGCTAGAAAGAGTAGTGGGGGCTTAGAGGAGGGGTCCAGGAAGGGGCGGGGCTCATGGGAGGCTACTGACCTCTCTATGCCCTGCACAACTGCTGGCTGATCCTCCAGGTCCAGCCCAGACCCATGATGTATGCCCACCCAGTAAGAACCAGGTCCACTCACCTGCCAGCGCGTACCCCCCAGGCATGATGGGGTTGGTGACCCCTCTGGCCATGATGCCCTCGGGGAAGGCCACAGAAAGTGCTTCTCCTATGAGGCGCCCCATGGCAGCTCCTGGCCACAAACTTGGGGTGAGGACGGGGGCAAGGCTGACCTGCTTCCCAGAGCCCTCCTCACCTGGGGACCAGTCTCAACACCATACTGGGGAGGCAGGTGGACGCGCGGCCACGGCTCTGTCCCTGTCCCCTGAGCCTCTTGGACCCTCAACACTCACCATAGATAAATATGGGCATGAAGTACCCAGCAGGTATGGGCATTGTGGTGGCCAGAATCAGCATCCAGAACTGCGGGGGGGGGGGGGGGGGACGGGGGGCAATGGGGGCGGAGGTTAGCAGCGGCTAGACCAGAGCAGGCAGAGGAGGGACTGGCTGGGGCGGGGAGTGTCCCTGGAGGAGGAGGAGGAGGCCCAGGCACACACCTGTCACCAGCGGCTGGCGTGAGCAAAGGTGTGAGCCGGGGAAGGGCCTCTACCCTGGCAGTGCGCCTACTGTGTGCCTGGCACTGCACCAGAGCCTCTCCTTTCTCCCCCCTCAACCATCTATGATGTAGGCCTGGTGACAACCCCATTTTTAAAGATGAGGAAAGCAAGGCTCAGAGAGTTGGAGCAACTTGCCGGGGACCACACAGTGGACGGAGGTCAGGACAGGGGGTCTGGGGGAAGATGCAGGCTCCGTGCTGCATGCATGCCGTGGGGAGGCACCCCAGCCCACCCAGGCTCTGTGCACACCCCTGGGGGCCCACCTTCATAACGAGGAAGAAAGCGAGGGTCCCGAAGATGGTGAACTGTGGGTGGTACCATTCGAACCATAGGTTCTGGTGGTCGGGCTCCACGGGCCAGGGTGGGGACATGTTCCGGCTCAGCAGCGCCCACGAGTTATTGTCAAGCAGGGAGTCCACATACTCCCTCATGGACAGCTGGAGGGGAGGGGGTCAGGGTTCCGCCTGGGGGCCGGGCAGCAGTGCCCCCGCCGCGGCCTGAGACCCCCCTCCCGGGCAGCAGTGCCCCCGCCGCGGCCTGAGACCTTCTTCCTCGGGCAGCAGTGCCCCCCACCCCCGCCGCGGCCTGAGACCCCCCTCCCGGGCAGCAGTGCCCCCGCCACGGCCTGAGACCCCTCTCCCGGGCAGCAGTGCCCCCCCCCCAGCCGCGGCCTGAGACCCCCCTCCCGGGCAGCAGTGCTCCCCCCTCCCGCCACAGCCTGAGACCCCCCTCCCGGGCAGCAGTGCCCCCGCCGCGGCCTGAGACCTTCTTCCTCGGGCAGCAGTGCCCCCCCCCCCCGCCACGGCCTGAGACCCCTCTCCCGGGCAGCAGTGCCCCCCCCCCCCCGCCGCGGCCTGAGACCTTCTTCCTCGGGCAGCAGTGCCCCCCCCCCCGCCACGGCCTGAGACCCCTCTCCCGGGCAGCAGTGCCCCCCCCCCCCCGCCGCGGCCTGAGACCTTCTTCCTCGGGCAGCAGTGCCCCCCCCCCCCGCCGCGGCCTGAGACCCCCCTCCAGGCAGCAGTGCTCACCCCCCCCTGCCACGGCCTGAGACCCCCCTCCCGGGCAGCAGTGCTCCCCCCTCCCGCCACAGCCTGAGACCCCCCTCCAGGCAGCAGTGCTCACCCCCCCCCCCGCCACGGCCTGAGACCCTCCTCCCGGGCAGCAGTGCTCCCGCCGCGGCCTGAGACCCCCCTTCCGGGCAGCAGTGCCCCCGCCGCGGCCTGAGGCCCCCCTCCCGGGCAGCAGTGCCCCCGCCACGGCCTGAGACCCCCCTCCCGGGCAGCAGTGCCCGCCCGCCGCGGCCTGAGACCCTCCTCCCGGGCAGCAGTGCCCCCGCAGCGGCCTGAGACCTTCTTCCTCGGGCAGCAGTGCTCCCCGCCCCGCCACGGCCTGAGACCCCCCTCCCGGGCAGCAGTGCTCCCCGCCCCGCCACGGCCTGAGACCCTCCTCCCGGGCAGCAGTGCCCGCCCGCCGCGGCCTGAGACCCCCCTCCCGGGCAGCAGTGCCCCCGCCGCGGCCTGAGACCTTCTTCCTCGGGCAGCAGTGCTCCCCGCCCCGCCACGGCCTGAGACCCCCCTCCCGGGCAGCAGTGCCCCCGCCATGGCCTGAGACCCTCCTCCCGGGCAGCAGTGCTCCCCCCCCCCCGCCGCAGCCTGAGACCCCCCTCCCGGGCAGCAGTGCCCCCCGCCGCGGCCTGAGACCCCCCTCCGGGCAGCAGTGCCCCCCCCCGCCACGGCCTGAGACCCCCCTCCGGGCAGCAGTGCCCCCCGCCGCGGCCTGAGACCCCCCTCCGGGCAGCAGTGCCCCCGCCACGGCCTGAGACCCCCCTCCCGGGCAGCAGTGCTCCCCCCCCCCCGCCGCGGCCTGAGACCCCCCTCCGGGCAGCAGTGCCCCCCCCCGCCACGGCCTGAGACCCCCCTCCCGGGCAGCAGTGCCCCCCGCCGCGGCCTGAGACCCCCCTCCGGGCAGCAGTGCCCCCCCCCGCCACGGCCTGAGACCCCCCTCCGGGCAGCAGTGCCCCCCGCCGCGGCCTGAGACCCCCCTCCCGGGCAGCAGTGCCCCCCGCCGCGGCCTGAGACCCTCCTCCCGGGCAGCAGTGCCCCCCCCCGCCGCGGCCTGAGACCCTCCTCCCGGGCAGCAGTGCCCCCGCCACGGCCTGAGACCCCCCTCCGGGCAGCAGTGCCCCCCGCCGCGGCCTGAGACCCCCCTCCGGGCAGCAGTGCCCCCGCCACGGCCTGAGACCCCCCTCCCGGGCAGCAGTGCCCCCGCCGCGGCCTGAGACCCCCCTCCGGGCAGCAGTGCCCCCGCCACGGCCTGAGACCCCCCTCCCGGGCAGCAGTGCTCCCCCCCCCCGCCGCGGCCTGAGACCCCCCTCCCGGGCAGCAGTGCCCCCCCCCGCCGCGGCCTGAGACCCCCCTCCCGGGCAGCAGTGCTCCCCCCCCCCGCCGCGGCCTGAGACCCTCCTCCCGGGCAGCAGTGCCCCCGCCGCGGCCTGAGACCCCCCTCCGGGCAGCAGTGCCCCCCGCCGCGGCCTGAGACCCCCCTCCCGGGCAGCAGTGCCCCCCCCCGCCACGGCCTGAGACCCTCCTCCCGGGCAGCAGTGCCCCCGCCGCGGCCTGAGACCCCCCTCCGGGCAGCAGTGCCCCCGCCACGGCCTGAGACCCCCCTCCCGGGCAGCAGTGCCCCCCCCGCCGCGGCCTGAGACCCCCCTCCCGGGCAGCAGTGCCCCCGCCACGGCCTGAGACCCCCCTCCCGGGCAGCAGTGCCCCCGCCACGGCCTGAGACCCCCCTCCCGGGCAGCAGTGCCCCCGCCACGGCCTGAGACCCCCCTCCCGGGCAGCAGTGCCCCCCGCCGCGGCCTGAGACCCCCCTCCCGGGCAGCAGTGCCCCCCGCCACGGCCTGAGACATTCTTCCTCGGGCAGCAGTGCCCCCCGCCGCGGCCTGAGACCCCCCTCCCGGGCAGCAGTGCTCCCCCCTCCCGCCGCGGCCTGAGACCTTCTTCCTCGGGCAGCAGTGCCCCCGCCGCGGCCTGAGACCCTCCTCCCGGGCAGCAGTGCCCCCCGCCACGGCCTGAGACATTCTTCCTCGGGCAGCAGTGCCCCCCGCCGCGGCCTGAGACCCCCCTCCCGGGCAGCAGTGCTCCCCCCCCCCCGCCGCAGCCTGAGACCCCCCCGCCCGGGCAGCAGTGCTCCCCCCTCCCGCCGCGGCCTGAGACCTTCTTCCTCGGGCAGCAGTGCCCCCGCCGCGGCCTGAGACCCTCCTCCCGGGCAGCAGTGCCCCCGCCACGGCCTGAGACCCCCCTCCCGGGCAGCAGTGCCCCCCGCCGCGGCCTGAGACTCTCCTCCCGGGCAGCAGTGCCCCCCGCCACGGCCTGAGACCCCCCTCCCGGGCAGCAGTGCCCCCCGCCACGGCCTGAGACCCCCCTCCCGGGCAGCAGTGCCCCCCGCCACGGCCTGAGACCTTCTTCCTCGGGCAGCAGTGCTCCCCCCCGCCGCGGCCTGAGACCCCCCTCCCGGGCAGCAGTGCCCCCCCCCGCCACGGCCTGAGACCCCCCTCCCGGGCAGCAGTGCTCCCCGCCGCGGCCTGAGACCCCCCTCCCGGGCAGCAGTGCCCCCCGCCACGGCCTGAGACCCTCCTCCCGGGCAGCAGTGCTCCCCCCTCCCGCCACGGCCTGAGACCCCCCTCCCGGGCAGCAGTGCCCCCGCCGCGGCCTGAGACCCTCCTCCCGGGCAGCAGTGCTCCCCCCCCCGCCGCGGCCTGAGGCCCCCCTCCGGGCAGCAGTGCTCCCCCCCCCGCCGCGGCCTGAGGCCCCCCTCCGGGCAGCAGTGCCCCCGCCGCGGCCTGAGGCCCCCCGCTGTCACTTCAGCTGGGGGACTCCTTGGCAAGGGCTCTGTCACTGCCGGAGCTGCTATGTGCTCAGTCACTCAGTCGTGTCTGACTCCTTGCAACCCCGTGGACTGCAGCCCGCCAAGCTCCTCTGTCCATGGGATTCTCCAGGCACGAATATTGGAGTGGGTAGCCTTTCCCTCCTCCAGGGGATCTTCCCAACCCAGGGATCGAACCCAGGTCTCCCACACTGCAGGTGGATTCTTTGCCATCTGAACCCCCAGGGAACTGCCGTGGCCTCATATGAAAAGCGCCACACAGCCCTCCTTTTCTAGGTGTTGAGAGGACTCAGGGAGATGATGGACATAAAGTGGACAACGATGGGCATGCCCCCCTGGCCCCCCAGCTCAGGCCCTTACCCGAGAAGCCATGAAGCGGCCCGCGCCAGGGGGGTAGGTGATGGAGGCGAGGACCAAAGCCGCCAGTGCTGAATACAGAGGCTTGCTGTTGGGGGGTGGGGGGTCAGCACCGGGCCAGCCATCGACTCCCCTCACCCCACCCCATGGGGCAGCCCCACTAGTCTGGGGGCAATGCTGAGGCAGGAATGGGGGGGCAGGAGCAGGGCAGTGATCCGGGGGGCAGGGGCGGCCCCACACCCCTGGATGACCAGGGGTGGGACTATAGGAGAGTTCGGGACAGAGGCCGCTGTCTGCCAGGACCGGCCTGGCGGAGGAGGGCCGAGTCTGAAATGGCAACACCAGGGCTCAGACAAGGTTGGGGGAACAGGGCTCAGTGAGGTACTGGGCTTCGTAGGCAGTGGGGGGGCCGTTAGCGAGGAAGGGCTGGAATGTTGACGCTGGTGGCCTAGTAAGTGGGGAGGCAGACCCTGGGGGGGCCTGCAAAGGGGTGCTGGTGACCGGGAAGGGAGAGTCTGGGGCATCAGCCTGATGGGTCCCCAGCCCCCATCCAGGGCCCACCTGGTGGCCATCAGTTTGGAGAGGACTGGATTTGTCTTGACAAAGCCGAGAAACTTTCGCTGGCAGAAGAGGTAAGCACAGCTCGCCACGCCACAGATGGCCCTGCAGGGGCACATGGTGAGTCCAGAGCCCCTCCCGGACCCAGGGCAGCTGTGCAGGCGGGTGGCGTCCCCACTCACCCCAGCGCCACGAAAAAGAAGATCTCTGGCAGGTCGAAGGGGATGTCCACCCGGAAACTGGTCTTGTAGAGGGAGGTGATGGTCTCTGGGGAGATGGGGAGTGGGGTCAGGGTGGACACTCCTGCCCAGCCGAAGGCTCAGAATCAATGGGCAGGAGAGGAGGCGGGGCAGGTGTGCCCCAGACTCCTCTCCACCCGCCTCCCTGACTGGCTTCACCCGCTTCTACCCTGAGGGCTTCCATCCTTCACGCCCAACACAGGCCAGCTCCTTCCACGCCCCTAGGAGGAGGAGAGTGAACAGGAGGAAGCGGGGAGGGAGGGGAAGAGATGGGAGGGTGGAGGGGCAGGGGGCAGGGGGCAAGGGGCAGGAGGGAGGGGGCTGGGGTTAGGGGGGAGGGGGCAGGGGGCAGGGGCAAGGTTCCAGCGGCGCTCACCCTGCTCGCTGTTGAAGACCGCCAGCAGGCGGAACATGAAGGCCCCGCAGGTGGCCGCGAAGAAGCCCCTCCAGTAATCCCAGACCGAGAAGTGAGAGGACACGACCTCGATGCTGAACAGGACGCCTGGGGGAGACAAGGGGCTGAGAGCCTGCCGCTGGGGCAGGGCCACCGGCTCCCGGTTCTGAGCTGAAGCCGAGGGCGGGGCGCCCCCATCCTGACCGCTGCGGTGGGGAGGGTGCCCGCCCCGGGGAGGGTCCCCACCCCCAGTTCACAGACGAGAGTGAGGCTGAGAGCCGGGCTCACCGCTCGCGAACGCGCAGGGGCGCCGAGTTTAAAACCCAAGTCTGTCCAGGGGACCGCCGCGCGTCTCGGCGCCCACCCGCGCCGCCCCTCCACCCCGGGGACGGTCAGCGCTCCCGGAAGACGGCGGAAGGACTCCCCCGAGAGACGGCGGAAGGACCGCGACCGCCCCCATCTGCCCCGCCAGGTTCCTGCGCCGGGCGGAGTGGGCGGGCTGCGCCAGGGCCGTGGAGGCCGGGTGTTGGGGAGCCCGGGGTGTGGGAACCGGGGGCCGGGCGGGGCCTCACCGCTGAAGGGCGCTGCGAACACCGTGGCCACGCCCACCGCCGCCGCGGCCACCAGCATTTCGTTTCGCTTGCTCCTGTTCTGGAGGGATCCAAAGTCCTGGGCTGACAGCCAGCCCTTGCCCACCCCCCCTCTCATTCCTCCAGTGGAGGGGTCCCCACGAGCCCCTTACCTCGGACTCCCCAGTGGCCTTGGTGCGCATGCGGCCCAGGAAGGCGCCAATCATCACGGACAGGTGCACGAAGGGGCCCTGCCCGGGAGGTGTGGGCGCAGGGAACCCGTCGGGCCTTGAGGGGAGCCCCAGCCCCGCTCCTCCCCTTCCCCTCCCTCGGTCCCAGGCTCCCCAAGCTCATCCAGGGACGGCGTGCCCCCAACCCTCACCCCATCTCCCAGGTTCCTGAGTCACACTCTGGGGACCTGGCCTGCCTCCGCCCTCAGGCGGGCACCCGCCTGAGTTCCTGCTGACCCAGTCTCAGTGGGTAATGGAGGAAAGGCAGCTGGGGTTGGAGGGTGGGGTGGGGGGGGCGTGGTGCTCTCACGCCCGTCCATACCACTTTGCCCAGGAAGATGGTGCTGCCGCTGGCCAGGATACAGGTGAGGCCCACCACCTTAGCCCCGAAGTTCTTGATGTCCAGGTAGTCCTCCAAGACCACGCCTGACAGGATGGTCTTCAGCTCCGGAATTCCAGAACCTTGGTGGGGTGGATGGACAGGGGCAAGGGGAGGGACCATCTCTAGATTAGCCTTATTCCTCTACCCTGCACAGGGTTTCACATTCGGGTCTTGTCAGGTCTCCTGAGCCCTGTCAGTGAGGGCTTATAAACTCATTCTGCGGATGAGGGCTTCCCTGGTCAGACAGTGAAGAATCCACCGGCAATGCGAGAGCCGCGGGTTCGATCCCTGGGTGGGGAAGATCCCCTGGAGAAGGAACAGGCTACCCACTCCAGTATTCTTGCCTGGGAAATTCCATGGACAGAGGAGCCTGATGGGGCTACAGTCCATGGGGTCACAAACAGTTGAACGTGAGTGAGTGACTTAACACTTTTCACTTTCTGCGGATGAGGAAGCTGAGGGCCAGAGAGAGGATGTGAACCGTCCACCTTCCTCCAGCTGGGCCCGCTGGACGCTATTGTGGGATGAGGGGAACTAGGAGGGACTCTCAAACCTCACTCCCGTGACACACCCCTGCATCCCCCCTCTGCTGGCCTGGACCAGAGGCAGAGCTGCGAGTCCTGGCAGAGGCATATACCTCCATGAGCCCCTCAAAGCAGAGCCAGCAGCGACCTGGGGCAGGATCTGTCCTTTTCACTGTGTGACTTTGGGCAAGTGACACAACTCTTCTGAGCCTGGCTTCTCTGCCGAGAGGTGAGGTTACCGCTTCCTGCTATCCCCCAGCAGGAGCCCCACGGGACAGTCTTTGGCCAGCAAGCACTGCCGGGCAAGGCAAACAGGCGGATGGCGTGGCGACTGGGCTTACCTCCCGAGAAGGGCGTGATGCTCTGAGAGAAGCCTGAGGAAAAGGAGACCAGGGCCACGGGGTACACAGTCCAGGAGAGGTACCGGAGGAGGTGGCTGTCCCCGATCTCCCGGTACAGCCACTGGTGTGCTGGGGACAGTGGGGCGTCAAGGAGCCATCCACAGACCGCAAAACCCTCGGACACCCACTTGCTGGTGCTCAAGTGCAGGCCCAGAGGCTGCCCACAGAGAGGTGGCCAGGGCTACCCCGTGAGCGGCAGACCCCCAAGAGGAGGAAGAGCAGGACCCTGGATCCCTATCCCAGCGTTGCCACTCCTTAGCTGAGTGACATTTTGCAAGCTATTAACACCAGTGAGCCTCTGTTTTCCCCATCTGTCAAATGGGCTCTGATGGTAACACCCTCACAGGGACATCGTAAGAAACCCAGATGTGGTCTGGTGCCCGGCAGGTCCTTGTAAGGCTGCCAGAGCGACTTCCTGCCCCTCGCCCCCTTGCAGGGGGACCTCAGGTGGAGGGAGCCTGCAGGAGCATGGGGAGGGAATGTTCTGTGCCTGGTGGTCTAGACGAGGGCCCTAGCCAGGGTTACTGAGCTGAGACCAGGGCAGGGGGAGCGGGGGCAGTGGTGGGCATGGAGCTCAGAGAAAGGGGGATGACTTGGTCTCTCGTCACTGAACAAACATGGAGTCTGAGGCCCGGGGAGGTGCCCAGGGTCACCCAGCATGCCAGGACCAGACCCAGTGCCCTCCCCGCCCCTGCTGCACCTGTCAGCCCGCCCCGCAACCCCCCTCCCCGGCATCCCGAGAGCGTGCTGGGAGGCCTGACTCCAGAGCAGGTATGCATGTCGGCGGGGTTGTGGGGGGGGTTACCTCGGACCACACGCCTGATGGTGAAGCTCATGGTGAAGCTGATCAAGGCCATGAGTACCCCGAGGACCGTCAGGAAGTACCAGTCCTCACCCACGCGGAACAGCTTCCGCTTCAGCCAGCCCAGGCCACCTGGGGCGGGGGCAGCTGTCAGAGCCCAGCGCCCAGGAGGGCAGGGAGGGAAGGTGCTGTGTGGGGCTGGGGTCAGGTGGGCCAGTCCTGGGAGGCTGGGAGGGGGCTCTGCCTCACTTGAGGGACGGCAGGATTTGTGGCAAGCGGAGGCAGTAGCACAGTGGGTGCCAGGCCCTGCCAGGAGGGTGCCTCTGACCGTCTGCCCCCCGCACCCCAGCCCCTTCCTGAGGTTCTGATGGAGGAAGAGGGGGAGCAGGGCGTGCAGGCCCGGGAGCGGTGCTCTCTTCAGCGTCTCCGCAGGGTCCACGGCAGAGAGAACGCCAGCATCTAAGGAGACTGCTCTGTCGTCCCAGGACCTGGGGGCCGTCCTGGGGTCATGCCGAGCGTACCCTGGGGCCCCCAACAATGCCCCCAGTGAGCAGGCCTGGGGGCCATGTTCCCAAAAAGCAGAGAGCCAGCCGCAAGCATGTCTGACCCACAGACAGGCAGACAGACCCCCCCTCCCTCCCTCCCTCCCGTCACCCAGGAAACTCTGGACCCCGGGAAGGAGCAGGTTGCTCCTAGGCTCCAAGGCGAGTTGGGAGGCAGGGTGGGCAGGGTGCTGTCTCGAGGGGGCTCCCGCAGGGAGTTGGGGGTGGGGAGCCCAGCTCTTACCTCGGATGCCTCGGCGGACGCGGGGACATGGACCCCAGAGCTCCTGGAGAGTCACAGGGCTCCCCGAGGAGCCCTCACGAAGCCCCACCAGCTCCTCCATCAGGCCTCTGAGGGAGCGCATGGGGAGATGGACCCTTGGTGAGCGGCGCCAAGGCCCTTCCCCTCCCTGCCACTGGGCCCTTCCCATCTCTGCTTCCCGGAGAGGAAGGAAAGGAGGCATTTTCAGGAGCGGACACAGCTCCTACGCGCCTTGGTTCCTGGGGGGTACCCCACGGCTGCGCGTGCGCGTGTGGACATTCAGGGTGGGGATGGGGCGTTCAGAGCGGCCCCTTCCATGTCTAGCAGCTGGTTGACCAAGGCCGGGCCCCCGGGAGCCATCACTCTGACTTGCCAGGACGCTTGACTGTTACTGCTGCTCGGGGCAGCCTCCTCACCCAGGGGAGTCACTGTCTAACCATGGGGTCCCCAGGCCCATCCCTGAGCCCCTGCCCCCGCAGCTGAGGCTTGAATCAGGAAAACCCAAGGTCCAGAGGCAGAGCCCCTGAGGGTCAAAAGGCAGCACTGGCTCCCTGCTCCCAGCTTTCCACTCCCGCCCTGCACTGGTCCGGGCAGGTTTCGTCCAAGTCCATCCCGGCGCTGTACCCCGCGGCCCCTCACCTTGGTCAGTCCGCTCCGCTGTGACCCCAGCCAGCGCACCTCTGACAAGAGACTCCTTTGCTTGCAACTCAGGTGCACCTGGACAGGTGTGCATTCCACCAATCAACACTCTGCCCCCCCGCCCCCCCCGCCGTGCCCGCCCCCGCCCCCGCCCCTCCCCGCTGAGGTTTACCCTGGCCATTAAGAATGTCCTTGACAAACCGACTGGAACTGCCCCAGCCAGCGGAGCAGTACAGGCCAAAGCCGCCAGGAGGGGCCAGGGCAGGGGCTCCCCAACCTGCCAGAGCCACGCAGAGGCGGGGGGCGCCCACCTGAGCTGCAGGCTAGAGTCAGGGGGCCTGGGAGGGGGACGCTCGTGATGCAACAGGTCGTGTAGGGGTCTTCTGCTAGGGCTGAAGGTCAGGGCTGCAGATTCTCAGAGTTGGGCACGGGAGGGATTTGGAAGATCAGAGAAGAGAGAGTGGAAGGGCCCACCCAAACGGTGATGCTGTCCCTGACCCACAGGGCTGCTGGGAGGAGGACCTTGATGCACCCGTTCCCGTGCCCTGTTGGGGTGGGATAAAGTCTGTGGCCTTTACCCAGAAGCCCCAAGCACAACCACTGCCCCTGAGGTGCTGTGGTGGGAAAGGCAGTTTCGCAGACTGGGGGGTCTGGACGTGAGGATCTAGTCCAAGTTCCTCCCCCCGCCCCAATTCCCTGTTCCTGCTTCAGCCTGTAGGCCCCCTGCCCCTATCTCTGAGCGAGGCAGGTCATCAAGGCAGGATCTTGGAGAGATCTCCAGGCTTGGGAGCCAGGCAAAGCAGGGTGGAACTTTGGGCTTTGTCCCTTGGCCTCTCTGACCCTGGGCAAGCACCCTCGCCTCTCCGAGGCTCCATTCTTTAAAATGGGCTGACACCTCTCACCTGCTTGGGTTTTCCTGGGCACTCACTAACCTGGAGGAGGGTTGAGCACAGTGCCTGGCACATGGCAAAGATGCAGTCGTACTAGCACCATTTTGCAAATAGTAAATGGAGCATCGGAGAGGTGAGTCACTCATCTAAGATCACAAAGCAGACGCTGAACCCAAACTCAGATTCTGTGGCTCTTCCTCTGCCCAGAGTCCCGAAGCTCCTGTGGCTTAAGCATTCAGGACAAGGGTTTAGGCACAGAGAGCAGAGGATCTCTGTCCGATATCACTTTTTGAAGATTTGGGCCAGAGATCTGGGACAACTCCCGCCCTCTTCCAGACAGTGCCCCCTTTCTGAAAATCACGATGGCCCTTCAGTGACTTAAACTCCTGAGACCCCGAGCCACCCTCTGCCCCTAGATGTCAGACCAAGTCCAAGCTAGGAGCACATGTGCGCTGTGAGGGGTGGGGTGGGGGCTCGCTGCTCTGCACAGACCGGAGCCCAGCCTTGCTCAGCTGCTCCAACCTGTGTATAGTGACAGCATTGCCGGCCGCCCTGTTGACACCCCAAACCTGTGTCTCCGCTCTTAGGCAGCCTCGGCTGGCCAGCCAGCAGCGCATGGCCACACCTCATCCCCCAGCCCTTCGAGCATCAGGGACCTGGAGAGAGGGTGGTGGGCGGACACCATGCCCGCGGCGAGTCCCTGCAGAGCCAGTCCCCGCATTGCAGCCCCCGGTGTCTCCTGCTTCTGCGTCAGGCTGTGAGGGTGGAGGGCAGGCTTGGCGCTGGAACAGCTCTCTCACCCTTGACCCGTTCTTCACCACTCGGAGCCTCAGTTTCCTCTTCTGTCCAGTGAGGGCTTCTCTGGGGGCTCAGACAGTAAAGAATCCACCTGCAATGCAGGAGGCCCAGGTTCCATCCCTGGGTCGGGAAGATCCCCTGGAGGAGGGCATGGCAACCCACACACCAGTATCCTCGCCTGGAGAATTCCAAGGACAGAGGAGCCTGGTGGGCTACAATCCATGGGGTCACAAAGAGGCGGACACGACTGAGCGACTGACACTTCACTTCTTCCAACGAGGGGACCGCAAGAGCCACGGGCGCAGGGCCCTGTCTCTGCCTCATTCATCACCGTCACGGGTCCCCCAGGACCCGGACAATGTCTGGCTCAGAGCAGCTGTTCAGCCGTTACCTGCTGAGCCATGAGTGGTTTCCAAACGTTGGCCTGTGGGCTGGTTGAGTAGGGAACTGACAGGAGCACAGTCCCATCAGAATCTCTGGGTACGTGGGAAGAGTCTGTGTTTGTTAAAAGTTCCTGCAGGAGACTGAGGTGCCCTGGCAGGTTTGGGATTGAGACACCGCATCATCTCTGAAGCCCCTTCTGTCCCTAGGATCTGAAGGGAGAGACAGGCGCAGAGACAGGGGAATGGACTTAATGACCTTACAGGGTCCCTTTTGGCCACTGAAGCTAGTAGATCCAGTGCCTGTGTGGGTGATGCCCGGGGGCGGGGGGAGGGGGAGGCTCGGTGGGCGGGGGTGGGTAATGAGATCTGACGTCCGGGAGCAGTGACTCAGGCCTCTGCACCGTGACCGTGTATCTGCATTTAGCCATGGGCTCCTGTTTCCTGGCGGGCGGGCAGCAGGCCTCTGGCCCCCCCAGCCCCACCCCCGCTGTCCCTCTGTCTCACCTCAGTGCTGGTGGCTTCCTGGCAGCCCTGCTGGAAGCCCCTCTTTGGTGGGGGGTGACCCAGCCAGGCAGGAATCTCCACTGGAGACACAGAACCCTCTTGCTCCAGCTGCCACCCTGACCCCACTGCATGGACCACCAGCCCCAGTCATCACCCATGTAGCTGGACCCCTGCCACACACACACCAAGGGGGAGGCTGTGCGGGACCCAGACAAGAGGGGAACGGTCTCCATGTTCAGGAACCCCCATTCTGATGGGGCAGACAGGTGAAGACCTGCCTCAGGGGATTGGCAGTCTCAGACGGGAGCGGGGACACTGGAAGCCCGAGTCACACCCAGCGCCAGGGTGGGCAAGGCCAGCTGGTACAGTGTGAACCGGGGCAGGACCTCCTTCGTGGGCTGCAGCAGTCAGAGAGACCTCCATGGGGAGGAAGAACCAGCTCTGGTCTGGGCAGGAGGGGAGCAGGGGCCCCAGCCTCCGAGGTCAGCCTTCCCTGGCTTCACCCCCTGATGCTGCGTGATGTCAGGCCAGGCTCCGTGGGCCTGTGTGTGAGCAGGGGCTTCTTGGTGTTCTGGGCCAGCCTGTCTCCTTATATGGATGTTCAGGTCGCCCGCTGACCTGCGTGTGAACAGGGGCCTCTCAGGGGGTTCTGGGCCAGCCTGTCTCCTTACGCGGATGTTCAGGTCGCCCGCTGACCTGCGTGTGAACAGGGGCCTCTCAGGGGGTTCTGGGCCAGCCTGTCTCCTTACGCGGATGTTCAGGTCGCCCGCTGACCTGCGTGTGAACAGGGGCCTCTCAGGGGGTTCTGGGCCAGCCTGTCTCCTTACGCGGATGTTCAGGTCGCTCTGGCTTCCTGGGGGGTTTGGGTCAGATACCTCCAGTTTCAGATCCCAGCTCTGCCACTTCCCAGGTGCAAGCCCCAGGCTCTCTGTGAGGCTCTGTTTCTCCATCTCTAAAATGGGAGCGACCTCTCCTTGCAGGGACTGAATGAGGCCACACTGGAAAGCTCCCAGCCAGGAGCCCAGGCTCAGCAGGCCCCTCAGATCTCAGAGCTAGAGTAACCGTCTGGCCGAGCCTCCTTAACCCCCAACTGAAACCTCTCCTGCTGCCTCCCGGGAATCATCTGCTCTCCTCCCCTGAGTCCAGACCCAACCCACCCTGCCTCAGCTTTCTCCTCTGGGTCTTGAAACGTTCCAGAGTCGGGGTGGTGGGAGGGGCGGGGGGCAGAGAGACAAGCCTGACATCTGGGTCCCTTGGGGGGCTGGGAGGAGAACAGCTGCACGTTCTATTTCCCCCTTCAGGGCTGTCTCAGGCCTCCCAAGAGATGACCGTGAACGTTATCTGTCCTGGTTGGGGAAGCCCTTGCCTCACACGGGGATTCCCATGGGTGGGGGTCCCCCATGCACCCCTGACCTTGCATCTCCTGACCTCCTCAGATCCAGGGCCTTGGTCCTCTGCCCTGATCCCTCCCACCAAGGGCTGAAACTTGGGGGGAAAGGGGGCAGGAGAGAGAAAACCCTCTGCAAGAGGTCTGCAGTCTGATGAGGGAGGCACAGTTCTTCCACTGCTGGGGGAAGACAGAGACTCAGAGACAGGCGTGCACAGGGGCCTGAGGCAGTCTCCCCGGTCTGAGCGGCGGGGGGCGGGGACAGCACAGGCCCCCGCGTGGTTGCCGTGGTGGCTCCGTCCGGGGCTGGAGTTATCAGCCTGGAATGCCAGGCGGTGAGCTCAGCCTCACGGCCGCCCGCGTTAAACTGTCAACAGGGCCGTCTCACTGGAGAAGCTCCCCAGCCCCTCTGGGCCACGGAGAGGACTAAATTTAGCCGGTAGACAAGAGGCTGGCCCCGCGCCCGGGGCTGCCGGGCCTTATAAAGCGGCGGCGGCGGCCGGGGCCCGGCAGCTCCCCGAGCCCTCTGCCCCCTGTGCTGCCTGCCCGCCCAGCCCGCCGGCCAGGGCCTGCCGCCACCCGTGGATGAGCCACAGGACCTCCTCCACCTTCAGAGCGGAGCGGAGCTTCCATTCCTCCTCCTCCTCCTCCTCCTCGGGCTCCCACAGCCTCCCGGCCCAGGACCCACCCATGGAGAAGACCTTGAGCATGTTCTCCGAGGATTTTGGCAGCTTCATGCGGCCCCACTCGGAGCCCCTGGCCTTTCCAGGCAAGTGCTCTGGGCCCCGTGGGGAGGGGAGCCGCGCAGGGCGGGGACACGCGACGGCGTGGCCACCGCCGCACGTCCAGCGACAGGTGCGACAGCTGCAGCCCCGCGCGGCCGCCGGGGCAGACCTGGGCTGAGACGTCCCCAGAGCTGACGCGAGGGGATCAGGAGAGCCACTGGCCTTCAGGAGACAGTGCTGGCCTGGGGTCAGCTCTGGTGCCCGGGTCAGGCGGGGCCTGGGGTCAGGTCCTCTCTGGAGTCCTGAGATCTGCAAGCCTGGGGGAGGCACGCAGACCCCCTTCTGCAGGCCTGGGGCGGGGCCCTGCAGAGCGTCTTACACGCACGCCCCTCCCCCACAGCCTCTGCTGGGCAAGGCCCCGCCCCCTCGGTGCAGAAGGTGGGCCGCAAAGGGTGAGGGGGGCGGGCCGGTTAGGAGCCACGGTTGAGGGGGCGGCAAGGCCTCAGGGTCTGCCCCTTCACCCCGCACCCGAGAGGGAGCCGGAAACCTGGCCCTGGGGACCAGCCTGACCTGTGCTCTGCCCGTCCAGCACTCCCCACGGCCCGCGCCGGGGGACCGGGCAACATCAAGACCCTGGGAGACGCCTACGAGTTTGCTGTGGACGTGAGTGACTTCTCACCTGAAGACATCATCGTCACCACCTCCAACAACCACATAGAGGTGCGGGCTGAGAAGGTGAGCCTGTTCCCCCGCCGCGACCCTGGGCTTCACACCCGTACCCCCTGCACAGGCCCCCCCCCCCACCCCGCCACGTCCCATCCTGGGACCCTGCACCCTGACAGCGCCCCCCAGCCCCCAGGACAAACAGGAGGCCTTGCTCCTGTGGCTGGTGGGCCACAGGACCCTCTCACTGCCCCGCTCTGCCCCAGGCTCCCAGGTGCTTTCTTCAGGAGCCACGGGAGCCACAGGGGAGGGGGCAGGGGCGGAGGGGTGCAGGAGGGGTCCCCAGGAGGCGAGGCGAGAAAGGAGCTGAGAGGAGGAGGGCGGCCCCCCTTGGCCTGTGGGTGGTGGGCGCCTCATGCCCGGGGGCAGCTGGGGAACGAGCTCTCGCCCCTGACGCCCCTCAAGGCCTCGTTTCTCCCAGACCCAGGGGCCCGGCTAGCGTCTCGTCTCTGAACCCCTGAACTGGGCTCAGGGTCAGGAGGCCTGCGCCCTGGAGAAGGGGGTGGCTGTGGCTGAACAGGGAGGTGCCCCTTAGAGGAGAGGGGCTGCCCACGGCCGCCTCTGATGGCCCGGCTTCCTCCCTCGAGCCCAGAGGTCCCCCATCAGGGAGCTAGGCCCTGCGGTGCCAGGACCAGTGGGCAGCACGTGCCCGCCCTGCCCCCACCAGTGACTCAGCCGCCCGGGCTCTGCTGGACACTGTGTGCTGGCGGCATCAGGGGCCGCGGCTGCCAGCGGCTGCCGGACATCCACGCACGGGAATGCGAGCGTAGCTCTGCGCCGTCTCCTTGCTGCTCAGGATCCCCAGAAACGCGCCTCCCCAGCCTCCCCACTTCTCCTCTGGGCTCCCCCACCGAGCCTCGCCCTGCCCCGGCCCGCTGGGGTCCTCTGAGCTCCTCTGCAGGTTCCGGTGCAGCTCGGCGCTCAGCCAGAGGCCACCGCTGCCCCGGGCAGCTCCGATGCCAGGCCCTCGCACCTGAGAGCAGGAGCCCAGGGCGTGAGGGGCCCAGCTGGGGTGGGAGCAGGGAGCAGGGGCTGGGGCTTGACGTGAACAGGCGGAGGGGTTTGGGGGGCGTGGAGGGGGGCAGCCCGCCCTGATCCTTCGGCCCTTCCCCAGCTGGCAGCCGACGGCACCGTCATGAACACCTTCGCTCACAAGTGCCAGCTGCCGGAGGACGTGGACCCCACGTCGGTGACCTCGGCCCTGCGGGAGGACGGCAGCCTCACCATCCGGGCCCGGCGCCAGCCCCCCACGGAGCACGTGCAGCAGACCTTCCGGACAGAGATCAAGATCTGAGGGCCGCCCTGCCCCACCCCCCACTGCCCCATGTCACGTTCTCCCCCTCCGGCCAGCCAGAGTGGCTCTCCTGATCCCCTCGTGTCAGCTCTGGGGACGTCTCAGCCCAGGTTCCCGGCCCTGACACCCCACCCCACCCCACCCCAGACCCCAGGTGGGTCATCCCCACCCCCAAATGAGGGCTTCTTCTCTACCCAGGGCAGGCCGGGGATCCCCCCTGTCTCACTTGTGGCCCCCAGATTGCAGATACGGCCTTAATCCAGAACAAAGGGTTTGGGATGGGAACAGGAGATCCCAGAGAACCTGGTTTGGAGAAGGGGGTTGGGACAGGCAAGCTGGGCAAATAATCTGCAGGACAGACAGACATAGTCTTTCATCTTTGGAGTCGCTGCAGGGCAGGGGAACTGGGTACCCGGGACCCCCTTGGCCAAGGGGAGCAGGAGGGCGGAGGGAGGTCACTGGCAGAGGCGCCCATGAAACCCAACTGCCAGGCACGGAGAGGCAGGAGACAGCCCTGAGGGTCCGTTTCCCTGCGGCCGCTCTCCAAGCCCGGAGCCCGCTGCCAGGCTGCCCGCTCACAAGGTGCCCCATCCAGCCCAATGCCCCTGGGCAGGGCCATGTTGTGTCTGTATATAGATGGGGTTTTTCCAATACAGCTGGCTCATGATAAAGTGTGTGAACCGTCTGTCACCTGCTCATGCCTCCAGGGAAGCCTGGGGCGGGGGGCGGGGCTGACCCTTCCTCCTCCTACCCGGAGACCTGGGCTCCTAGGACTGTCTCCACTGCAGACAAGTCACCCAACAAAAGGAAGCATGGATGGGGCTTGAGTCCTGGAGGTAGGATCCCAGCTTCCCACCAACCTTCCCTTGTGGCCGTCTGCCTTCCCCATCCTCCCTATCTATTATCTGTGAAACTATAGGCATGGAGTGTGTGTATACCACATGCACACAAACAGGTGCGCACGCGCGCACACACACACACACACACACACACACATGCATGCCCGGTTACCCTTGTCCTTCAAATACTAAGCGTTACCATTGGTTGCAGCCAAATTCAGAACATTCTTTCTTTCTCAAATTTTGGTCACACCCTGCAGCCTGTGGGGCCTTAGTTCCCTAAGCAGAGATTGAACCCGCACCCACTACGTGGGGAAGCGGAGCCTTAACCACTGGACCACCAGGAAACTCTCAGAACACTCTGAAATCAGGTTTACAATCTCCACTTGTTACTTTTATCAGTGGGGAAGGAGTCTGAGCAGCTGAGCAGCCAGCTTGCCCACTGAAGCCTGGGTTTGAACCCAGGATGTCGGAAGCCGCTCTTGAACCCCACCTGCCCCTCTGTGCAGAGGGGAAGAGCTCCCCTGTTCTGTTTCTCTGCCCTGCACCCACCCCACAGCTTCCTGCTAGAGAGAGAATGCCCCACCCACCCCTGTCCCTCCTCATCCCCAGGCCAGGACAAGGACCTCCTGCCAGCCTGCATTCTGGGGACCCCCAGCTGCCCCCCACGACCCAGGCGCAGTCTCCCACATTCAGAGGTAGGGCTGAGCAGGGAGGGTGGGTCCCTGTCTGTCTGGCCTCCTGCGCTTCCTGGGTCAGTGCTCTGTGAAGTGGCCTCGTCCCTGCCGTTCTGGGGCCCTCAGGGGATGACCCGGGGTGGGGTGGGTCCTTGCGTTGTATCCTGCACACACAATAAACAGCACAATCACCGGCTTCTGGAGGTCACCTGCCTGAAGTTTTCAAGCTTGGGGTAGGGCAGGAATGGAAAGCTGGATAAACATCATCTCTCTTGAGATTGGGGGGGCTGGGGTGGTAGCTCAAGTAAAGGTCAAGACGGCACAGAAATATGGGTTCCTTTGGCCTCCTGCCTTGGTTCCCGGGCCCATTGGGCAGCCTTCTGGGAATGGTTTCCCTGAAACACTTGCATCGCCTTCTCTTCCAACTGCCAGCCCCTGCTCCTACCTGCCAGGCGCTGTCCCAGGCACGGGGACACCAAGAGTGGGCCAGCTGCACTGGGCGGCTTTTGAAGCCAGTCTTGTACCAGCCGGGTTGGAGGACCACAGAGGCTGAGGGACTAACCTGGGGGCACACAGCCCGGGCAGAGGCCGGCTGGAACCTGGCGGGGGAGCGGACCGGTTCAGGGAGTCTGAGCGCCCTTTGGAAGGACGCCGCACACAAACCACCAGGCGCTACTGAAATCGGAGTTCCAGGCAGCTAGGGGCAGTCTGGAGGAGGGGAGGGAAGGGAGGCAAGGGGCACGGTATTTCCAGTCTCCGTGACTCACTGATTCCACCGGGCTATTTGCAGCCCCGACACTCATCGCTGAGGAGTTGGGGGGAGGAGGGACCAGTTCTCCCACTCCTCCGACCCCTACTTGGGGCCAGGCTCACCTTGGCGTCCCCAGCCCAGCGGTGTCCCTCCCTGGGCCAGGAAAGGGGGCAGCTCCCCGGTGGCCAATGGGGCCGAATGTTCCCCACCCTTAGGGCCCCAGCGGCCCCTCCCCAGAAGGGGCTTTTAGAGGCTGAGGGAGCCGGTGGAGACTGAAGGCGCCCTCCTGCCAAGGTGACCCGAGGAAGAGGAGGGCGGGGCTGGGGACCTCGGGCTCAGAGCGTTGGCTCCGCCCTTGCAGCTCTTTGTTTCTACTGGACCCCTACGCTTTCCAGGTTAAAAATAGACCTGGCTGCGGGTCCTGGGCTCCGCCCCCACCACGTGAAAAATAATTATAGCAGCCCCATTCATTGAGCTCCTAGTGTGTGCCAAACACCTGCTCATACCCACCATCCTGCAAGGTGGGCACCAAGAAAGACAGGCAGTTCAGAGAAGTCAAGTGACTGGCCCAAGGTCACACAGCTGGGACGTGGCATGGCTAGAATGTGAATCACTGTGGCTCTAGAATGTCCTCTGCTGGGTCAGCTCAAATCAGTCCCCGGCTCCCTGCCCTTCTGTATAGGGAAGGGGAACACTTACATCTTACAGCTTTAGCAGAGGGTGTGGGCAGGAGGAAGGGGAGGTTGAAAACATGCAGCCTTCCAGGGCTGGAAATCTGTGAGCAAGTCCAGGTCCAGTGCCTGATGGGTGTGGAGGAGCTAGGAGGTGCCATCACTTTCAAAGGCCTAGCCCAGACCAAAAGCCTCCTCCTCCCAAAAGTCCTCCAGAGTTACCAGGTCAGAGTCACAGAGCTCAAGGAACCCTAGGCCCAAAACTTGTGTTTAAAAGAAGCTCAGATTCAGATGAGATGAGCACGTGCCCGGGGCTGAGGGCAGACTTGAGACTTGGTTGGCCAGTCCCATATCCTCTGGGAGTCACTCCCAATTCCTCACGGTTTGATGGGGGACCCAGAGCCTGGGAGGGGTAGGGCCTTGCCCTCGGTCACAAAGCAAGTCAGTGTCAGAGACGGGATGAAGACCAGGCCTCTAGAACTTCAGGCCAGAGCTTCTTTACCAGACCACCCCCCATCCCCAGACCACCCTTCCCTGACCCACTTCCCCGTTGTACCCTCCATCTTCCCTCAGCCCTGTCCGCTTCCTGTCTGCCTTGGATCCCAGTTCTGCGATGGCAGAAGATGCCTTATTCTGCCTTCTTGCTCCCAAGCCCAGCATGGGAAAGGAGCTAAATAAATGCTTGTGGAATTTTCAAAAAAGCTCAGAAGCCTTAGTAAAGAGTGGCGGGTCCCTGGTGGCCCAGTGGATAAGAACCCACCTGCCAGTGCAGGGGATGTGGGCTCACCCCTGACCCTGGGAGAGCCCACATGCTGCGAAGCAGCCACACCCCTGTGCCACAGCTACTGAGCCTGGGTGCTGCGGTGGCTGAAGCCTGCACGCCTGGGGCCTGTGCTGCACAGAGAAGCCATGCACTGCAGCAAAGAGCAGCCCCCGCCCACCGCAACTAGAGAAAGCCGGGGCGCAGTGGCAGCGACGACCCGGCGCAGCCAAAAACACACAAATAAAATCTAAAAACTTCCTTAAAAAAAAAAAAAGAGTGGAGGCTCAGGACTTTCTTGGTGGCCCAGTGATTTGGGTTTGATCCCTGGTCAGGGAACTAAGATCCCACATGCCAGGACTGGGAGAGAGGCAACTAAGCCAGAACGCTGCGCATCTGTCGAGCTGGCGCACCACAAGCAGAGAGTCCACGAAGCTGCAATGTGCGCGGATCCTGTGCACCGCACCTGAGACCTGATGCGGCGAAATAAGTTAAAAAGCGTACTTCAAGCGGGGCCCTAGACATGGATAGGTGACTAACGATTGAAAGTGTGTGATGTATAGATTTCATTAAAACAAAGAGTGGAGGATCAGCTGTAGACTCTGGAGCCACACCACCTGGGTTCAACTCTTATCTCTGCTGCTTGTGAGCTGTGTGATCTTGACTAAGTAACTTAACCTCTCTGTTGCACCATGGCAAGAATACACAGAAGAACTGTACAAAAAACATCTTCACCACCCAGATAACTAGGATGATGTGATCACTCACCTAGAGCCAGACATCCTGGAATGTGAGGTCAAGTGGGACTTAGGAAGCATCACTACGAACAAAGCTTGTGGAGGTGATGGAATTCCAGTTGAGCTATTTCAAATCCTAAGAGATGATGTTGTGAAAGTGCTGCACTCAACATGCCAGCAAATTTGGAAAACTCAACAGTGGCCACAGGACTGGAAAAGGTCACTTTTCATTCCAATCCCAAAGTTGAAAATGCCAAAGAATGCTCAAACTACTGCACAATTGCACTCATCTCACATGCTAGCAAAGTGATGCTCAAAATTCTCCAAGCCAGGTTTCAACAATACGTGAACCGTGAACTTCCAGACGTTCAAGCTGGTTTTAGAAAAGGCAGAGGAACCAGTGATCAAATTGCCAACATCCGCTGGATCATCGAAAAAAGCAAGAGAGTTCCAGAAAAACATCTATTTCTGCTTTATTGAATATGTCAAAGCCCTTGACTGTGTGGATCACAACAAAGTGTGGAAAATTCTGAAAGAGATGGAAATACCAGACCACCTGACCTGCCTCTTGAGAAATCTGTATGCAGGTCAGGAAGCAACAGTTAGAACTGGACATGGAACAACAGACTGGTTCCAAATTGGGAAAGGAGTACGTCAAGGCTGTATATTGTCACCCTGCTTATTTAACTTCTATGCAGAGTAAATCATGAGAAGTGCCAGCCTGGATGAAGCACAAGCTGGGATCAAGATTGCTGGGAGAAATATCAATAACCTCAGAAATGCAGATGACATCACCCTTATGGCAGAAAGCAAAGAAGAACTAAAGAGCCTCTTGATGAAAGTGAAAGAGGAGAGTGAAAAAGTTGGCTTAAGACTCAACATTCAGAAAACTAAGATCATGGCATCCAGTCCCATCACTTCATGGCAAATAGATGGGGAAACAGTGGAAACAGTGACAGATTTTATTTTTTGGGGGGCTCCAAAATCACTGCAGATGGTGACTTCAGCCATGAAATTAAAAGATGCTTACTCCTTTGGAGAAAAGCTGTGACCAACCTAGACAGCATATTAAAAAGCAGAGACTTTTTACGTTACATTACTTTGCCAACAAAGGTCTGTCTCGTCAAGGCTATGATGGTTTTTCCAGTAGTCATGTATGGATGTGAGAGTTGGACTATAAAGAAAGCTGAGCCCTGAAGAATTGATGCTTTTGAACTGTGGTGTTGGAGAAGACTCTTGAGAGTCCCTTGGACTGCAAGGAGTTCCAACCAGTCAACCCTAAAGGAAATCAGTCCTGAATATTCATTGGAAGAACTGATGTTGAAACTCCAATACTTTGGCCACCTGATGCAAAGAACTAACTCATTGGAAAAGACCCTGATGCTGGGAAAGCTTGAAGGTGGGAGGAGAAGGGGATGACAGAGGATGAGATGGTTGGATGGCATCACTGCCTCAAGGGGTATGAGTTTGAGTAAACTCCGGGAGTTGGTGATGGACAGGGAGGCCTGGTGTGCTGCAGTCCGTGGGGTCACAAAGAGTCAGACACGACTGAGCGACTGAACTAAACTGAACTGAACTGTTGCACCATAAAATGGTGCTAACAGGTTCTACCTGCTGTGGTTGTTTTGTAATACACTTAAAGGGCTTGGTACATATGGTTGACTATAGTTCACATATGCCATGCACTGAAAACACCCAGAAGGGCTCATTTAGAGCCCCCTAATCTCATTTCTGTTTGAATCCTGACACTCCATCTCTGGCTCCATTAAGATGAAGACTTGGACTGGAAGGGCAGAGGAGCTGCCTTGTACCTGGGGTCCTCTTTCCAGGAAAAGCAGGTGAAACAGACGGAAAAGGTAGGTTCCTGGGACTTCCCGGTGGTACAGTGGGTGAGAACCCACCTGCCAGCACCGGGGACATAGGTCCGATCCCTGGTCCCAGAAGATTCCACGTGCCACGGAGCAACTGCAGTCCGCGCACCACAACCACTGAGTCTGAGCTCTAGTGGCCTCTCGCTGCACCTCCTGAGGCTGGAACCCATGCTCTGTGACAAGAGGAGCCGCCAAAATGAGAAGCCCCAGCACTGCAAGGAGTGGCCCTCGCTCACGCAGCTAGAAAGCCCGAGCGCAGCAACACAGACCCGGTGCAACCCCCCAAAAATTAATAGTAATAATAATAAGGTGGTCAGTTCTCCAAGGCCCTCCTGGAAGACCTGTCTGGGCCCTGGGGGTGGGGGAGGTGGGCAAGAGAAGCACCTGGAAGCCTTGGTTTCCTCTTCCACAAACAAAGATCAGGTAGCACCCTCCCAGGCCCGCTGTGACAGCCAGAGCCAGATGATGTTTAGTGTAAGCTTGGGAAATGCTAAGCTCCTGTTAGAATCTGTGTGTTTGTTTTCTGAATGAGGAAACCCAAGCTTCCACCCCCTGACTCTGCCCTCACACGGGAGAGCGTCCTGAGGAGCAGGGAGGCTGGAGTCTGCCAGGCTGGGGTCCCAGGCAGGAGCCTCTGGGCAGCGGGATGGTGCTGTTTACAGTCAGCACAGCGGGCCTGGGCTACCCCGAGCAGCCCCAGACCTGTCCTGAGCTCTGGGGCCTTCCAGTGCCTGGACCCAGGGGCAGCTCTCCATGGGGGTCTGGGGGCTGCTGGCAGGGTGGGGGCCCTGGGGAGCCTTCCTGAGGGGCATGAGGCCGGGCCGCTGGCCCCAGGGAGCCGGAGGGGAGAGAGCAGACTGCAAACCTGCCTCTCCCTCCTTGCTTCCCTCCCTTCCTTCTGCTTCTTCCTCCCTTTCTTCCCACACAATTCTTGGGCACGTATCATGCACCAGGCACTTTTAGGGCACTGGGGACACAGTCCTGATAGGCGTGGCTGCCGACCTGGAGACACACTCACCGATTCACACTTCTACTCGCTGCTTCAGGAAGGTCTTTCTTCTTTGTTGGTTCATCCTCTCAACAGCTTTTCAGTAAGTTTCTGTGATATGGTGGGTAGATAAAACTCTGAGGACGCGCCGTCTCCATTTCAGCCCTGGCTCTGCCACTCGCTGTCTGCATGACCTTGGGCTAGTCGCTCCACCCAGCCGGGCCTCAGTCTCCTTATCTGTACAATGGGGCGGCCCCCACAGGACTGTGGGGAAGAGATGAGGTGTTCTCCTCCACCTGTGTGCCCAGCTCATTGAGGGCCTCAGTCACTTGTTCAACCCTCAGACACCCCCACACACGGCCAGACCCTGGGGACTGTTCCTTGGGGAATGATCCCTGGGGACTGTTCATTCACTCCTTCAGCAAACACGAGCAGAGCACCTACAGCACAGTACAGGCTTATGACGCTATAACTGCATAGTCACACTGTCTGCGGTTTGGACTTGGTGAACTTGGGTAAATCATTTCATCTCTCTGTGCCTCAGTGTCTTCACGGGTCCAGTGTGAGAGGAACTGAAGTGGCATCAACAGTGACTATTCGAGAGGAAAGGGACATTGATTAGGGTAAAAGCCTGGCTTCTGAAAGCTTGGCCCTCCCCCAGCCCGAAAGGCGGGGCTGCCCAGTCTGATGTTGGGGCGACACCTGCTGGCAGGAAGCTAGGCCTGCAGCCCTACCCTCTTCCTGCAGGGTCTCAGACTTCCAGCTCTGCCTCTGGTCTCTGCTATTTCAGTGATTCTCAGCAAGGGGAGGACAGAGGAGGGGATGTCAACAGTCCAGACTCCTCTCTCACCACCTCTCTAGGACAGATAATTACTGCCTTTGCCTGGATTAAGGTGCAGCTTCCTCCCCTGCCTTCCTCTCCCAGCACAAGAGCTAAGGCATCTTTTTTTATAGGGCGGGTCATAATTTCCAGTAGTCCCCATCTCAGAGGCCTGCAAGGCCTCCCGTGAGATGGCCCCTGTCGCTCCTCCGGCCTCTGTTTGGAGTGTGTACATGCATTCTCTCCCCCAGCTGGAGGACAAGCTCTTCGATGGCAGAGCCTTGTCTGTCTGTCACTGTTCCGCCCCAGGGTCTAGCCCAGAGTCTAGCAAACAGTGGGCGCCCCACAAATACTTGGTGAATGAATGAATGAATACTCCAGCCAGACTGGCCCTGCTCCCTGGAGCACTCCCCACTCTTGCCCCTTGCCTTGGTATGACTCAGTCGACTGGCCAGATTTTAGTTTAGATGCCACTTCCTGCATGAAGCCCTCCTGATCTCCTCTCCTGAGTGGCCTGGGCGCCCTCCTCCAGCCCCAGTCTCATTCTGTGTGCCCTCACCGCCGCACTTACCAGAAGTTACAACAGTCAGCAGTCGTCTTCTTTCTCACCTCCCCTACTTGGCTGTGAGCGCCTTGAGGACAGGGTCCGCTCTCTCTAGATCCCCTCTGTTTAGAAGAGACACTGCCGGGAGGAGAGGCCATCTGCGGTAGGGCTGGTTTGGGTTCTAAGCCCAGCTCCACCTGTCTACGGGCCTTGAGTGCACGCCTCAACTTCTCTGTGCCACGGTTCTCTAACATGTGAAATGGATTAAAAAAAAAGGCGCTTCTCTGTACAGGCATTTCCCTGGCACAGAGCAAATGGTCAATACATGTTAGCCACCAGTGTTTGTGTGTGCATGCTGTCACTCAGTCATGTCTGACTCTGCAACTCTATGGACTGTAACCCACCAACCTTCTCTGTCCATGAGATTCTCTAGGCAAGAAAATGCTGGAGTGGGTTACCATGGCCTCCTCCAGGAGATTTTCCAGACCCAGGGATCAAAACTGTGTCTCATATGTCTCCCGCATTGGCAGGCAGTTTCTGTACCATGAGTGCCACCTGGGAAACCCACCAGTGTTTGTAGGAACCTATTAAAACATTAGTGAATAAATGAATATTCAACAATTTTAATCCAAGAGCCTTGAGACCCTCTTCATCAGCATCTCTTAGACCTTCATCTTCCCTCAGAGCAACTTCCACTTCCTGCTGAGGACAAGGATTGCCCCGGGGGAAAGGGACAAAGTTCCCCCACCTACTTTTCTGTGTCCCTAGGGGCAGTATAAGCCTGGTATGCAGTGCATGCTCAATAAGTAATATCTCATTTTCATCTGTTCAAGCATGATACTCCCTTCCCTTTCTGAGTACTTCCACCCCCATCCTGAGAACTCAGTTCCCCTCATTTCCCACCCCATCTGGGTCCTTAAATCTCCCATCCTGAGTCCTGTGCCCTCCCGGTGATCCCTGGTGACCTACACCCTTGCACGGTGAGCTCAGATGACTGCAGTCACTGTACCGCCCCTGCCCGTTGTGCTGGGAGGTTCTGACTCCTACTCTGGATGAGAAACCAACCAGGTGATCCTGGGGAGGATAGTTCCCAGTGCTGGCTCCTTCTCATCTTTTCAGTTCAGTTCAGTCGCTCAGTCATGTTTGACTCTGTGCAACCCCATGAACCGCAGCACGCCAGGCCTCCCTGTCCATCATCAACTCTCAGAGTGCACCCAAACCCATGTCTACTGAGTCGGTGATGCCATCCAACCATCTCATCCTCTATCATCCCCTTCTCCTCCTGCCCTCAATCTTCCCCAGCATCAGGGTCTTTTCCAATGAGTCAGCTCTTCGCATCAGGTGGCCAAAGTATTGGAGTTTCAGCTTCAACATCAGTTCTTCCAATGAATATTCAGGACTGATTTCCTTTAGGATGGACTGGTTGGATCTCCTTGCAGTCCAAGGGACTCTCAAAAGTCTTCTCCAACACCATAGTTCAAAAGCATCAATTCTTTGGCACTTGGCTTTCTTTATAGTCCAGCTCTCACATCCATGCATGACTACTGGAAAAACCATAGCTTTGACAAGATGGATCTTTGTTGACAAAGTAATGTCTCTGTTTTTTAATATGCTGTATAGGTTGGTCACAACTTTCCTTCCAAGGAGTAAGCATCTTTTAATTTCATGGCTGCAATCACCATCTGCAGTGATTTTGGAGCCCAAAAAAGTAAAGTCAGTCACTGTTTCCACTGTTTCCCCATCTATTTGCCATGAAGTGATGCGACCGGATGCCATGATCTTAGTTTTCTGAATGTTGAATTTTAAACCAACTTTTTCACTCTCCTCTTTCACTTTCATCAAGAGATCATACTTTTAGATCATCTTTTAGATCATACTTTGTTCCCCATTCAGAGAGGCCTTTCCCAACCAAAATATCAAAAAAACCTCTTGCCACGAATTCCCTATGAGTCCAGTGGTTAGGACTCTGCACTCCCATTGCAGGGGGCACAGGTTCGATCCCTGGTTGGGGAACCAAGATCCTGCATGCCATGCAATGCATGCTAATTTGCTTCAGTGGTGTCCGCCTCTTTGCAATCCTGTGGACTGTAGCCCACCAGGCTCCTCTGCCCATGGGGTTCTCCAGTCAAGAATACTGGAGTGGGTTGCCATGCCCTCCTCCAGGGCATCTTCCCAACCCGGGGATCGAATCTGTGTCTCATTGCAGGCAGATTCTTTGCCGCTGAGCCACTGGAGAAAACCCTGCATGTCAAGAGGAGCAACCATTAAACAAAACAAAACAAAAAACCCACCTCTTTGTTCCATCATCTTCCATCCCACCACCTTGCTCAGTTTCTATACAGCACTCATTATACTGTTCAAATAGTCTTTATTGGGTTGTTTAACCTTTCTCCCCCACCCTCAGGAATACAAACTCCAAGAAAGCTGCAGTGTCTTTTTCAGTGCTTTTGCAGGGCTGGGAATTGGGAGATGCTGCATTAGAATATGCTGTGAGTTACTCAGCCTCATTCTACCTGGCGGTGCCTTATCCTGTTGCCGCTGAAAGGCTAGCAAAGATGGAGAGGAAGGAAGAAGTAGGATGCTTGGGGCTGTTTCAGATGTCCTTTCGGATCTAACTTTCCTTCTCTGGCTCAGGTAGAAAAGCCTTCTGCTCCGCTGGGGAGGCGGGCGTGGACCCGGGGAATCGTGCACGGATGCCCGAGCCTCCCCGCCCACGGCCAGGCTTCCGCAGTCAATCCGCCTGTGCGCAGACACAGGAGGAGAGGGCCTTGAGGGAGCCGATGACCGTTCCCCACGCGGAGGACCGCGAAGACACGGCCTTCACGGGGCTCCCCTTGGCTTCAGGAGCCTCTGCAAGGCCTCCTGGGCTGGCTGGGGGGGAAGCTTGGGCCGCAATCCCTCTGCAGGGGGCACCTGGGCAGGGCCCCCCGGCCTGCGCAAGGTCCCCCCCACCTAGCAGAGCCTCCCGAGTCAGGTTGGGGGACTGCTTTTCTCCGCATAACAAGATGTAGGTCTTCATCGGAGGGACGGCAGGTCCCGGTTTGGGACTGGGGGTGCGGGGTGGCCCCGGGGGTGCTGCCAGGGAGATCTGCTTCCCTCGCGCACAGTCGATGACGAAGATCAGGTGAGCTCTGGGGATGGCCTTCTGCTGGCGCGCCGGCCTTCCGCCTGGAAGGGAGGAGAAGGCCGAAGGTTTGTGCTGGCGCAGCGCGGGGGCGGCTCCAGTGATTCGGGTGTTCGTTCACTCAACCGGGAGTTTTTGTGTTAATTTAATTTTTATTTTATGTTGGGGTATAGTTGATTTGGGCTTCCCTGGTGGCTCTGTAAAGAATCCGCTTGCCATGCAGGAGACGGGTTGGATCCCTGGGTTGGGAAGATCCCCTGGAAAAGGAAATGGCATCCCGCTCCAGTATTCTTGCCTGGAGAATCCCATGGACAGAGGAGCCTGGCGGGCTGCAGTCCACGGGGTCGTAAAAGTCTTAGCAACCAAAGAACAACAGTAGTTGGTTGACCATGCTGTGTTAGTTTCAGGAGAACAGCACAGTGATCCAGTTACATATATATATATATCAGACATATATCCATTCTTTTTTAGATTCTTTCCCCATATCTGTTATTACAGAATTTTGTAAAAAATATGTATTTACTTATTTATTTGGCTGCACAGGGTCTGAGGTTCAGAATGCTGGATTTTTTACCTTTGTGTCACATGGGATCTTTTAGTTAAGACATATGGGATGTAGTTCCCCAACCAGAGATTGAACCCAAGCCCCCTGCATTGAGAGCACGAGGCCTTAGCCACTGGACCAGGGAAGTCCTGTTATCACAGAATACTAAGTAGAGTTCCCTCCACAGGGATTTAACTGTATGTTGTGCGTGCTAAATTGCTTTAGTTGTCTCTGACTCTTTGAGACTCTGTGGACGGTAACCCACCAGGCCCCTCTGTCCGTGGGGATTCTCCAGGCAAGAATACTGGAGTGGGTAGCCTTTCCCTTCCCCAGGGGATCTTCCCAACCCAGGGATCCAAGCCACATCTCTTACGTCTCCTGCACTGGCAGGTGGGTTCTTTACCACTAGAGCTGCCTGGGAAGCTCTAACCGTAGGTCAGTTGACACACAAAAATGGGAAGACGGTGGGGCTTAAGAGCATGAATTTCGGCGCTGGGGAGGCCTGAATATACGCCTGTCTCCTCCCCACCCGCATCAGCCCTCTGCCTTCCGGGAGCACAGAGTCCGCCACGTCAGAGCCTCTCAGCCCCACCATGCCTACAGGCTGCCTGGGCAGTTTGTTAGCATGCAGATTCTCTGGTGGCTCCGTGGTGAAGAATCTGCCTGTGATGCGGGAGACTTCGGTTCAATCCCTGGGTGGGGAAGATCCCCCGGAGAAGGGAATGGCTACCCACTCCAGTATTCTGGCCAGGAGAATCCCATGGACAGAGGGGCCTGGCGGGCTACAGTATATGGCTCACAAAGAGTCAGACATGACTGAGCGACTAACACTTTCACTTCACTTTCTGGTGCAGCAGGTCTGGGCTGGGGCCTGACGGTCTGCATTTCTGAGAAGCTCCCAGGGAATGCTGATGCTGCTGGCCCATGGACCACACTGTGGTGAGCGGTACGAAGAAAGCCCGACCTCCTTTTACAGGTGAGGGAACTGAGGCTCAGTGTGCAGGTGTCAGTGGCCTCAGGAAACACTGCTGTGCTCCCGTCCTCCCCCACCATACTCTTATCTACCTGTCCTCTCTGCCTCGGGGATCCTTGCTGTGTCTTTCCCCACCAAACAGGGAGCAGCCATGAGCCCACCCAGGGGCTTATCAATGAGCCAACCCGGGGATTTATCAATGAAGCAAGTGTCAGAGCAGGTCTCTCCGAATCCAAAGCCTTTGCTCTTCAAAAAAAAAAAAACATTTCAAGTTGCCCAAATGATAAACAAAACCATCCTCTTGACTACGTGCTCGTCACCACGACCCAGGCTCAGAAGGAAGCTTCTCTTCTGCTAAGTTAGTTAACGCAGGAAATGTGGCTGATCCTTGAACAATGCCAGTTTGAACTGTGGATCCACTTAATGTGTGGATTTGTTTTCAATAAATACCCATTCCTACACAATCCATAGTAGGTTGAATCTGTGGATGTGGACACTCAGGTACAAAGGGATGATTGCAGTTACAGCCTGATTTTCCACTGCTCGGAGGATCAGCACCCCAGCCCCCAAGTTGTTCAAGGGTCAACTGTAAATGAAGCTCCTCCGTGGCTTGAGAATCTGGGCAGCCCCGGAGGGAGGCTGTCTTTCCTGCCCTCCCCACTCCACAGCCTCCCCAGTCCCTCTCAGCTGCAGGGCTGAAGCCCCCTCTGTCACCTCTCACCTGAGCTGGTCTCCAGGTTCATCTCAAGGCCCCCGGGGTGGGTGCTCGGCTCTCTGGGGTCTTCTGAGGGGAACGTGACTGCTGCCATGGTGCCTGGCTCGGCACTGGCAGAGGAAGCCATTTTCGGCAGCCGTGTCCAGAATGCGGGTCCTCACCCAAGGACCAGACCTTTTATATTTACCAGATCCGGATCTGCTGAGTGAATTCCACCAGGAGCCACAGGAACTGGCCTGGAGCAGTTGGGGGATTGCTTTGATCAACGGGTTTATGTCAACAGGATTGCAGTCAGGTGGCTGGGAGGCAGGCCTTCTACCAAACACACACAGTTTCTTCCAAGCTCAGCGGCTTCCTCCCTTGGGACGAGCCTGGGAACCGTCTCTTCCAGGCCTCAGTTTCCCGAACCTCAGTCATTGCCTGGCTGCATTCCCAGTTTTTAGCTGTTTTATTTATTATTTTTGGTCTCACCTAAGAGAAGGGGGCGGTGGAGGATGAGATGGTTAGATAGTGTCCCTGACTCAACGGACATAAATTTGAGCAAACTCCGGGAGACAGTGGAGGACAGAGGAGCTGGGCATCCTGCAGTCCATGGGGCCACAGAGAGTCAGACATGACTTAGCGACTGAACAGCAACAAAGAACTGTATGGAATATTACTGACAACATGTCCTTGTCTTACTCTGTTTGAGCAGCGATAGATTAGGGGAATTAAGCCACAAATCTTTGATTACTCACAGTTCTGGATGGTGGGAAGTCCAAGATCAAGGTGCTTATCGATTCTGGTGTTTGGTGAGGAGCTGCCTACTGGTCTTTAAATAGCTATCTTTTAGCTGTGTCTTCACCTCACAGAAAGTGCAAGAGAGGTCTCTGGGATCTCTTTTTATAAGGGCACTAACCTCATCATAAGGGATCTACCCTCATGACCTAATTACCCCTCCCCAAAGAGCCCACCTCTTCAGTTCAGTTCAGTTCAGTTCAGTCAGTTGTGTCTGACTCTTTGTGACCCCATGGACTGCAGCACGCCAGGCTTCCCTGACTATCACCACCTCCCACAGCTTGCGCAAACTCATGTCCATAAGTCAGTGATCCCATCCAATCATCTCATCTTCTGTTGTCCCCTTCTTCTCCCACCTTCAATCTTTCCCAGCATCAGGGCCTTTTCCAATGAGTCAGCTCTTCGCATCAGGTGGCTAAACTATTGGATCTTCAGCTTCAGCATCAGTCCTTCCAATGAATATTCAGGACTGATTTCCTTTAGTATGAACTGTTTGGATCTTGCTGTCCAAGCGACTCTCAGGAGTCTTCTCCAACACCACAGTTCAAAAGCATCAATTTTTCAGTGCTTAGCTTTCTTTATAGTCCAACTCTCACATCCATACATGACTACTGAAAAAACCATAGCCTTGACTAGATGGACCGTTGTTGACAAAGTAATGTCTCTGTTTTTTAATATGCTGTCTAGGTTGGTCATAACTTTTCTTCCAAGGAGTAAGCATCTTTTAATTTCATGGCTGAAGTCACCATCTGCAGTGATTTTGGAGCCCCTAAAAATAAAGTCTGTCACTGTTCCCATTGTTTCCCCGTATATTTGCCATGAAGTGATGGGACCGGATGCCATGATCTTAGTTTTCTGAATGTTGAGTTTTAAGCCAACTTTTTCACTCTCCTCTTTCACTTTCATCAAGAGGCTCTTTAGTTCTTCTTTGCTTTCTACCATAAGGGTGGTGTCATCTGCATATCTGAGGTTATTGATATTTCTCCCAGCAATCTTGATTCCAGCTTGTGCTTCATCCAGCCCAGCATTTCTCATGATGTACTTCTGCATATAAGCTAAATAAGCAGGGTGACAATATACAGCCTTGACGTACTTGACGTTTCCCGATTTGGAACCAGTCTATTGTTCCATGTCCAGTTCTAACTGTTGCTTCTTGACCTGCATACAGATTTCTCAGGAGGCAGGTTGGGTGGTCTGGTATTTCCTTCTCTTTCAGAATTTTCCACAGTTTATTGTGATCCAGACAGTTGAAGGCTTTGGCATAGTCAATAAAGTAGAAGTAGATGTTTTTCTGGAACTCGCTTGCTTTTTCGATGATCCAGCAGATGTTGGCGATTTGATCTCTGGTTCATCTGCCTTTTCTAGGTTTCAAAATATGAATTTTTGGAGGATGTATTCTATCTACAGCATCTTTTAGGTCAATCAAATTTTAAGTCAATTTTTTCTTTTACTGAAAAAGAGAAATATTTGTCTACTGAAAAAAAATGTACAGCCTAAAGTTCAGAGTTATGTTTTTTCAGTGGATTTACTGAGGACTTAAGTCCAAGAGAAAACCTGATTGAAAGAGGTAAGTGTAGAGCCAGGATATATAGGAGTTAAAAAAAAAAAATAAACCAAAACAAAACAAACCAGGTATTTGAAACATCAAAAGATTACTGTCAGGGACTTCCCTGGTGGTCTAGAGGTTAAGACTCCCAGCTTCCAATGCAGGGGGCTCAGGTTCGATCCTGGGTCAGGGAATGAAGATCCTACATGCTGTGCAGTGTGGCCAAAAAATAAAAAAATAAAAGAAAAAGATTACTGTTAATTAAAGAAAATCAGACATGTCACATTAGTGAATTTAGTGCTTTTATATGTATGGGAAGGTGCATGAGTTTGGGCTTATTGAAATTATTCCTTTAACATGCACCTTAACTATCCTGTTTTTCTCCCTCCTGAATCCCGTCAGGGTGCACCGTTGGGGTGATTGCAGTGGTGGCTGGCTTGTTGGTTGCAACATTGTTTGTTTACTGACAAGGCAGGTGACATTCTTTGTTGTAGTACTACTATAAATAAATATGTATGGTAGAAGATGCTACCCCAAAGAAGCCCATGCCCTAATCCCCAGAACCTGTGAAAATGTTACCTTACACAGCAAAAGAAACTTTTGCAGGTGTGATTAAGGGTATTCCCATTCTGACACCAATTCTGATGATTGCTTTTTTCCACATTACCAAGCAGTTAACATTTTCCTGACATTGCCTACCTGGAGATTGCTTCAGATTTCACAGATTAAGAGGTCAGTCCTACAAGACTGCCTCTGGCACAGACACCAATCACAAGTCCTGGTTGTCAGATGGGTTTCTGACCTACAGATGGGAGGGTCCCAAAACACACTCCTTGGATTCAATTAGTTTGCTAGAGTGGATCAGAGAACTCAGAGAAGTGTTTTGCTTATCAGATTGCCAGTTTCTTATAGAACTCCGGGGACTTCCCTGGACTCAGGGGACTGTCCAGTGGCTAAGACTCCACACTCCCAACGCAGGGGGCCTAGGTTCAATCCTTGGTCGGGGAACATAGATCCCCCATGCCACAACTAAGCATTCGAATGCCACAACTTAAGTTCCTGCGTGTTGCAGGGAAGATGAAAGATCCCACATGCCCCAACTGAAAATCCTGTATATCTCAATGAAGATCAAAGATCCCACATACTGCAACTAAGACCTGGGCAGCCTGAATAAATAAATAAATATATATACATTTAAAAGACTGTAACTCAGGAAGAGCCAGATGGAAGAGATGTACAGGCAAGCTATGTGGGAAGGGCAAGGAGTTTCCACGACCTTTGAGAACGCCACTCTTCCCCAATCTCCACGAGTTCACCAACCCAGAAGCTCTCAAAACCCTGTTCTTTAGGGTTTTAATGGAGGCTTCAGTGCATAATCATGATTGATTAAACCATTGGCCATTGTTGGCCATGAATCTCCAGTCCCTCTCACTCTCTGAAGGTTGGTCGGTGGGTGGGACTGACGCTTCCAACCCTCTAACCCAGCGCTTGGTTCTCCGGCTTCCCTGCTTAGGTGCTGTTGTTCTTGTTCAGTGTCCGACTCTCTGAGACCCCATAGACTGCAGCACACCAGGCTCCTCTGTCCTCCGCTATCTCCCAGGGTTTACTCAAATTCACGTCCCTGGAGTTGGCGAGGCTATCTAACCATCTCATCCTCTGCTGCCCCCTTCTCCTTTTGCCTTCAATCTTTCCCAGCATCAGGGACTTTTCCAGTGAATTGGCTCTTCACATCAGGTGGATGTAGGGCCTTTCTGAGGGTCACCTCATTATGACAACAAAAGCCACCCTTTCCCCTCTTCTCAACTGGAAAATTCCAAGGCTGGTAGGAGCTCTGTGCCAGGACCCAGTAGGAAGACCAAATATGCATTTACTTAACAGATCTGGGTTCAATCCATGCATCAGGAAGATCCCCTGGAGGAAGGCATGGCAGTTCACTCCAGGATTCTTGCCTGGAGAATCCCATGAACAGAGGAGCCTGGTGAGCCACGGTCTGTAGGGTCGAAAAGAGTCAGACACGACTGAAGCTACTTGGCACGCATGTATTTACAGCGGTATGGACTTAGATGTAGGGATATTGGGTGGATTATCTAAGTGAATACACCCTAATCACACTAGTCCTTAAAATGGGACCGTTTTCCAAGCTGGGTTAGAGAGATGTGACAATGGGACAAGGCCAGAATGAAACAAAATGAGAGACTCAGTCTGCCATCGATGGTGTTAAAAGACAAACCAGGACATGGTAAACATTTTAAGAGTTTATTTGAATAAAAATTGACTTCAATCAGGTAGCATCCAATGTAGAAGATAGAAAGGAACTCTGAGTAGTTGTACAAAGGCAGAAAGGAGCAGAATTGGAAGTTACACTAGGCAGGAAAGTGGGTTGGTTATCGCAAGGTTACTTTCCCTTTGGAGACAGCAAGGGTCCATCAGGCACCTAACTAGTGCCAATCAGGTGATTCCTGATTGACTGGTTTAATATTCCACTTCTGGAAGAGCCAAAACCTTCATGAAGCTAAATCTTCGTTTGGTGATGTGAAGCTTAGTGTAAGCAGTTGTTGTGTTGTTTAGGGTTTGTATAAGCAATTGTTGTGTTGTTTAGGGTTGGTTTGTTTAGATTGAAGTATCATTTATTTACAGCTTTGTGTCAGTTTCAGGTTTGCAGCTTTGTTGCTGTTTAGCCGCTGGGTTGTGTCCAACTCTTTTGTGACCCCATGGACTGTAGCCTGCAAGGCTCCTCTGTCTGTGGAATTTTCTAGGAAAGAATACTAGAG